AGTTTTTGTTGTTTGTTTGTTTTGTTATTTCTTTCTGTATCTGTAAAAATTTTGGCTTCTTTATTTTTTAATCATATGTATGATAATGCTATTAAACAGAGGTACAGTTTTAAGTCAACTCATCATTCTCATTCCTTACAACCACAGAACTTCTGGTTCTTATAAGATTTAACTGAATAGTACCTAATTTTTTAAATAGACAGCTCTTCCTACCTGATAATTTATGAATAAATAATTCATTAGTAACTGGGGACTACCACAAACCTAGATTTCCTAGGAAAGAGGGGGCTTATTGAATTAGGAGGATTTGTATACCTAAGCAGAAACAGCATGACATAGAAGAGAAAACACTGCACTACAAGCCAAAGATCTTTGGTTCTAGTTCTGATTTTTTTCTGTTGAACAAAGCACAAGTATCACTGGGCTTCAGTAGTGTCATTAAGATGAGGATATTAATATCTACCTGCTTAACTCAAAAGGTTCTTGTGAGGGTTCATAAGATAAAATATATGTAAGCACTTTAAAATCTATCATTTTTGCTAATAAGTGTTATTTAATGATTTCAGTGAGTTTGAGCAATTGAGAATAAGTTGGTAGCTTACACTAATGTAGAGATCTCTAATTATACCAGGTCTGGGAGATTTGATGGGCACAAATTCTTTGCTATATCTTCTATTGAGAGGTGATGTCTACTTCTCTTCACCTTGAATTTTGACCCATAGAATGCAGCAGAAGTAGTGTTCTTTGACTCCCAAGGCTAGATCCTAAGAAGCCTTATAGCTTATGCCTTGGTCTCCTGGAACATTTACTCTAGGTGAATCCAACCAGCATGTAAAAGAAGGACCAAGTAATCTGAAATCACCATGCTGTGAGGAAGCCTAAGCTATTAGCCACAATGGAGAGGGCATGAAGAGAGAGACACCTGTCCAGTCCCAGCTGTTCCAGCCTTCCCAGCTTGGGTTCCAGACATGTGAATGAAGAAGCCGTCTTGGATATTCCAGCATTAGCAGACATGACATGGTGAAGAGCCATCTTGGATATTCTAATACGTATACAAAGTACTTATACTCAGTATATACAAAAAATTCTTATAACTTAATGATAATAAGACAAAGGGTCAAATTTCTCTCCGCCAACCCCCTTGAGACTAGGGTGCAGACACTTGGTCACTTAGCGATCAGATGCACCTTCTCAAGTCGTTAAATCCTGAACTGGTGATGTGAACATACAGAACCATTTAAAGTTCATGCTGGTGGCATCCAGAGTCCAGAGGCTGGTGACTGGGGCTGCAGAGCCAGCAGGGGTAACCTCAGAATCTGTTCCAGTGATGATGTGGCTTTGACTTGGGGTCCTACTGGCCACCTTGAGTTATGGCCATTTTCCTAGGCCGATTCTCCAGCCTTCTAAATTATCCTGTGCGTCACCAGATACCTTTCCAATAAGTTCCTTTTCTGAGGTCAGTTTCTATAGTTCGTAATCAAGAACTCTCACTAATTCAACAGAAAAACCTTCTTGGGATATCAGTGAGAGAAGATCATATATGCAGCTTCCTTCCCAACTCAGCAATCTGTCTTTTTATAGGAACTTTCCTAATATTCTTTTTGTGTTATCTAACCAAAGGACTGGAATGCGAAGTCTCTGTGGGTATCAGCCTGTCTGTAGGAATTTTTTCCATTTAGTGTTGTTGAGTTTTTCTCACCGTGGAAAATTAAAAGAGAAGCCATTCTGACACTTTTGGTGTTCAAGTTTAAAGTACATTTTGTCTCAGAATGTAAAAAAAACCCCTCAAAAAACCTTGTTTTGGTCAAATCCATCTGGCCAGAGGAGTGTCTTGCTTTATTAATTTTTCCCATGTTCCCAGAATAAGATGCAGCAATTGAACATCAGTTCAGGCTCCCTCACAACTCTTACTGAATTTTAAAAAGAAATAAGTCGGGCTTCCCTGGTGGTGCAGTGGTTAAGAATCCGCCTGCCAATGCAGGGGACACTGGTTTGATCCCTGGTCCGGGAAGATCCCACATGCCATGGAGCAACTAAGCCCGTGCACCACAACTACTAAGCCTGCATTCTAGAGCCCGTGAGCCACAACTACTGAGCCCACATGCCACAACTACTGAAGCCTGTGCGCCTAGAGCCTGTGCTCCGCAACAAGAGAAGCCACTGCAAAGCCTGCGCACTACAATGAAGAGTAGCCCCTGCTCACCACAACAGAGAAAGCCTGTGTGCAGCAACGAAGACCCAACGCAGCCAAAAATAAAATAAATTTACAAAAAACCAAACCAGAAAAAAAAAAAAACACTTAAAAATAGAAAAAGTCAATGAGAAATAAGCTTTCTGCTTTAAAGGTGAAGTCTCAGAGAAGAGGAATGAATGAAAAGTTAGAAGAGGGGGCTATAACAGGGGTGGAGAGAAGATAGGGACACTAAAAAGATGTGAACTCTGGACACAGACCCAGGCTGCCTCTGTTACCATCACGTTCATATTCTTCAGGTAGTGCCCTGAGACCCAGCTCTACTGCTCCAAACCGCCCGGGAACCGGTGAGACGCAGGTGGCCAGCTCAGTTGGTCATGGTCCGGGAGCCCTAACTGATATGCTTTCATCACGCCCTCCCAGAAGGAGGAGTGCCCAGACCACAGAGTCTCCAAGCTCGCCCCAGAGAAGGGAGAATAGTGAATGGGCACTGGCTGTGGCTCCCTTTGGGTACAACACCCAAAGTTGCCTCCTTAACTTCTCTCTAATAAAAATCATCATGTAGGGACTTCTTTGGTGGTCCGGTGGGTAAGACTCTGCGCTCCCAATGCAGGGGGCCCGGGTTCGATTCCTGGTCAGGGAACTAGATCCCACACGCATGCCGCAAATAAGAGTCCGCATGTCGCAACTAAGGCCCGGCACAGCCAAAATAAAGAAATAATAAATATTTTTAAAAAAGAAGTAACATTAAAAAAATCATCATGTTATATCTAATATATATTTTAAAACATGGGAAACATACACATAAGGGAAGAAGCACAGTGATAAAATGGAGACCCTCAATCCCACTACCTAAATTAAGAACTAGATAGTACAAGTATGAATATTTACCCTTTCCTTTCTTTTTAAAATTCCTAAAGTGGAGTTCTTAATTCTGTCAAAACACATACATAGACTAACAGACTATAAATAAACCATAAACCAGCATCCTTGATAGGTGGATATCCAGCCTTTAATTACATACTTCCCATGACAGGCTATTCACTGCCTCATAATGCAAGTTACTCTGTTATTGAGCAACCCCCTTTCAGAAGAGCCTTCCTTATATTGAACTGAAATCTGCATCCTGTAACTTCCATCCATTTTAAAAGGTAGAATTTTAGTTTTCCTTCAAGTAAAAGGGAGTAGGCAGTCTAGAGCTGGTACTTTTCTGCTCTGCTATTTTTAGTGCACGGTTTCATGGTTCAAGATGGCCACTGAGTTCAAACCACCATCAGAGTTCCAGACAGAAAACCCAAAAAGGGAGAGAGGGTGCATGCCAACAACCTTTCTTCTTTTAAGAAGATTTTCTGTAAATCGTAGTCAACAATGCTCGCTTACCTGTCATTGGACAGAGCTAAGTCACGGGGCCATCCTTGGCTATAAGGCAAACTGGGAAATGTAGTCTTTTAGCTAGAACATTACCATCCTAAATAAAAGTAGGTTTCTGACACCAAGAAAGAAGAGAAGAATGGATATAAGACAGGCAACTTGCAGTCCCCACTACACGAGTGAATCAAGCAGTAGGCAGTGCAGAGCGTATAGACATAGTGTAGAGTCAGTGTTCTCCAGAGAAAAGAACCAATAGGATTCATTTTAAGGAATTGGCCCATTTGACTGTGGAAGAGGACAAGTCTGAAATCTGCATGGAGGCCCAGCTGGAGATCCAGGGAGGAGCTGTTTGACTGTGGAAGAGGACAAGTCTGAAATCTGCACGGAGGCCCAGCTGGAGATCCAGGGAGGAGCTGATGTTGCAGCTTGAGTCCAAAGACAGTCTGCTGGCAGAATCCTTTTTTCTTGGGGGACCTCAGTCTCCTCTCCTAAGGCTTCATCTAATTGGATGAGACCCACCCACATTATGGAGGCTAGTCTGCCTTACTCAAAGTCTACTGGGTTAAATGTTAATCACATCTAAAAAATGCCTTGACAGCAACCTCTAGACTGGTGTTTGACTGAGTGCCGTGACCCAGCGAGATTGATACACAAAGTCAGCCATTACACATGGTCACAGATACAAGCAGATATCAAGCAGGCTGCTCTGTGCCTCTGTTTCTAATGGATTGAAGTGGATGTGAAGTTCAGTGGATTCGCCAGCCCTGGAGGAACTTGCCAGGTCAGAAGAGCCCAGAGCCTTGGCTTGTTGCCTTTTGCATCTTTTCAGGCTCGGGGGTGGGAGGAATGCTTTGACACTCTGGGGTCACCTTGTCACCAGGGATTGGAGTCTCTGTGTTAGTCACAAAACGTAGTTACTTCCATGTTTTATTTCTTACTGAGTCCTAAGGCCTAAGCTCACTCTCAGCGCTACAGGCCTAGTTGGGGCCCACTGAGAGTCACGAGTGGGTTCTGTCAGCTCTCTCACCTAGAACTCTCCCAGCATGGGGCTCAGCACAGGCCAGGGCTCAACAAAGCTCTACAAAGGCCTCATTCTCATTCCTTACAAATATCTGATTGTCACTCTCATGTCTTCTCATAAGTATTTCTTCTCCTACACATACCTGGTTTCGGTCTTAGCACTTTGTAACCCTAAATGTACATTGTCGTATTGGCGGGTGCGGGGTGGTGGTGATGGGGGCATGGGAAATGGGATGGATTAGTGCATTTTCTCATTGTAACAGATGTTGGTGCGCAATGCTAAATGCAGACTTTAAACAGTGGCATTTTATGTTTAAGTTGAATAATAAAAGCAGTTTGCTTATATGCACTTAAATAACTCTTGATAGAGGAAAGAAATCCTGTGTTCACGGGGGGCATTTCTTTTGTGGGTGTGCAGCTCCCTCCCATTTCTGATCCGATGAGGCCTGATCTGGTGACAGCTCATTTTGCAGACAACACAACTGGAGAAAAGCCAGGTCAGAGGAAAGGAGGGGGGAGGGTGGACTTGGTATTTATTATTTGGTGATACTCTGTAGCTAAATGGTAGCTTTACTATGCTTTCCCCCAAATCTTCCAGGTATGAAGTCCAGGTAGAGTCGATGGGATAGAGGTAGAAAGAGATCACTATGACGTACTTGCAATTATGTCTGGTGACTTCTCCTTGCATTCTTACATAAGCCAGATAAGTATGTCTTTATTAATGGAGAGGGGTAGTGGCAAGGGGTGGGATGGAGGAATGCATTTCACAACTTTATATATATATATATGTCTTCAATTTGAAACTTCCCTTGGTTTCCATAGCCCAGCTGCAGAAGGCCACCCAATTAGTTAAAAAGAAAAAAGGTTTGAGATCATGGCTGGGTTACTTCATGTGGACTAAAATAGAGGAAATGGCTACAGTTGCTTTGCCAGAGATGTCCAACCCTGCATTAGACTAAAAAGGCAACTTACAGCATCGGACAACTTAAAAAGATGTAATAAGGGAACTGCCTACTTTCCACATCTGTTAAGAACATCTGGCTCTGGCCTGAGCCCTGGTAACTTTGACAGTTAGTTGGTGGCCCACAGATTGAAAAAGAGGCAAACCCTCAACCTGTCAGCCTCGTCTGTGGAATTTCCTGGTGGCATAACTACCAAGCTCAAGGGCGAAAAGCAGCTGGGGCATTTGTGCAGCTGCCCACATTGCCTGTGCTGAGCTTACTTCCTGACGGCGGATTTAAAAGAGAGGGGCTTTTGAAGACTCAGGTGCTGGCCTCAGAAAGCAGTACCTCTGCACCCTGCCCCAGAGGGCCCTTCACCATGAGCATCTTGGGGGGCGTCTAGGAGGCTTAATCCCTCAATTACTGCTCTCTTTCTTTTGTGGTACTGGGTTGTTGACGAGATGTGCCCTGTGGCAGGTTGCATTTTCCAAAGATGGTTGTGACGACATCCCTCATCCCACGTGCTCGTCTGCAGTGCTACTGTCAAGAGGCAGAGGCTTCTGTCCCTGCCCTTGAATGGAACCGGCCACAGTGACATGCTTGCATCCAATAATGTGGCATGGAGGTGGTGACTTCTGAGGTTAGGCCAGGAAAGCCATGCAGCTTCCTCCAGGTTTTCTCACAAGACTTGCTTTCTGGACATCCCTCCTGAGGTGCTCTATCCTAGAGCTGGTCGCCATGCTGTGGGAAACCCAAGTCACATGGAAAGGCCACACACGTGTGCTCCTGTTGACAGTGCCAGTGGAGGCTGGCCTTTGAGTCATTTCAGCCTTGGTACCAGACATGTGAGTAATGAAGCCTCCAGATGAGTCCAGCTCCCACATGGGTTTTGTAGCTGAGGCCCCAGGCATCACGAAACGGAGACAATTCATCCCTGCTCTGCCCTGTCCTAATTCCTTGACCCACAGCATCTGTGAGCACAATAAAATGGCTGTTTTAGTCCGCTAGGTTTGGGGTGGTTTGTTACACAGCAAAGATAATCAAGCATGTCCATAAGGGACACTTTTGGAGGAATCTGAATGCTGTTAATCAGCACATGCCATTCTCTCTACTTCCATCCCCCTGCCCCACCCCAGGATCCTTCTAGGTGTGCCCAGCACTATATTACACAATGTGCACTTGGTAAGAGACGTACAGGGCTACCGCTTGCCCCTCCTCTGTAGGTACTGGAGAAAGATGCCCATTCCTCTGGGACAGTGCAGTCCTGCCCCACAGCACACAGCCTCGCAGGCGAAGTGCAGGCTCCTTTCATCCCCCTCCTGAACCTGGTCAGATATCTTCGGCAGCTTACACACTGCACAGTTGCACACAGCGGCCCTGGAGAAGTGTAAAAGTAAGTCTCTCCTTAAGGAATTTACATTCTTATTGATGCAAAATATGTGTACTTTATAATAGGAAAGTGTCAAATGCTAAATCATGTGCTAACACTGATTTTAGAAAGAGTTTTGTAAAAATAAGAAAAAACATGGAGTTGTAGAAAAAGCACTGAACTTTTAAATAGGAGCTCTGGGTAGAAGAGCTGGGCGTGAGTCGTGTTCTGCTGCGGACTGGCATCGCCTTGCTTGGTGCCTGGGTTCTTTGAACTGTGGTGTCTTTCACCTGGGGAGTAAGAAGTTGCTCTAATTTGTGACGGTCAAACATTCCCACTGAGATATCCTTATGGCAGCGTGGGGTCTGAGGGTGTGGCAGTCAGAATTGGCTGCCCAAAGCTGGACTCAAAAACTGTACGCACATTTTATTTATTCATAAGCCGCAGTTTTCAGGGGGAAAAAAATTCACCTGAGTAGAAAAGTCTTCCCCAACCACCATATTTAAAATAACACAGCTAGGGCTTCCCTGGTGGCGCAGTGGTTGAGAGTCCGCCTGCCGATGCAGGGGACACGGGTTTGTGCCCTGGTCCGGGAAGATCCCACATGCCGCGGAGCGGCTGGGCCCGTGAGCCATGGCCGCTGAGCCTGCGCGTCCGGAGCCTGTGCTCCGCAACGGGAGAGGCCACAACAGTGAGAGGCCCGCGTACGGCAAAAAAAAAAACCACAAAAAACAACACAGCTCCTTCGCCCCTACCATTCTCCCTCTGTAGTGGATTAGAGATGGCCACAAGTTCTTTGATCCTCCTCCTGTGGAGAGACAGGGTCTCTGTCCACTTACATGTAGGCGGGTTCGGCGGTTGCTTTGAGCAACAGAATATGGCAGATGTGGTGCTGGGACAGTTTCCAGGCCCAGGCCTTAGGAGACTGGCAGTTTCCACTTCCTGCCTCTTAGAACAGTTTCTCTGGGAGTCCTGGATTTGATTACCTGAGACCGCCCTGCTGAAGTGGCGATGTATAGGCACTTCAATCAACAGTTCCAGCTGAGCCCAGGCTTCTGGGCATCCCCCTGGAGGCCCCAGACACATGAGCGAGGCCATCTTGGACCCTCAAGACTAGTCCATCTGCCAGCTGCTGTCACTGACTAGAAGGACTCCCCATCTGAGCCCTGTGGGAATGTCGGGCCCACAAAATTATGCGATATTATAGAACAGTTCTTATTCCAAACCACTAAGTCTTTCTTTAAAAAAAGATTTATTTATTATTTATTTTATTTATTTTTGGCTGAGTCGGGTCTTAGTTGCAGCACGCGGGATCTTTGTTGAGGCATGCGGGATGTTTCTCTGCGTTGTGGCTTGTGGGTTTTCTCTCTCTAGTTGTAGCACACGGGGTCCAGGGTGTGTGGGCTCTGTAGTTGTGGTGCTCAGGCTCCAGGGCACGTGGGCTCTGTAGTTTGCGGCACGTGGGCTCTCTCATTGAGGCGCGTGAGCTCAGTAGTTGAGGCGCCGCTGGCCTAGTTGCCCCACGGCATGTGAGATCTTAGTTCCCTGACTGGGGATCGAACCCACGTCTCCTGCATTATAAGGCAGATTCTTTACCACTAGACCACCAGGGAAGTCCCCCAAACCACTAAATTTTGAGGTGGTTTGTTCCACAGCAATAGGTAACTGGAACACCAACCCTCAACTGGCTTTATTTTCTTCACTGCCAGTGGTGTCCTGGATCTGGCTCATACTGGCTCGTGAGAGCAGGTGGTTAAATTTTCAGGAATTCTGTGAGCCAGTTATTAAACAAAGCCATTATTAAAAATTAAATAATTCGACTTACAATGAAATGAATTATATTAAAAACAAGAGTAATATATCCTCAAAACTCATAACTTCCTAGTTCTTTTACTATGTGTTACTCTCATCTGTGCTCTGAGGTTGTTTATGTCCCTTGTGTCTGTAGGTGGTGGGACTACTCTGCAAGAGTGCATTACAGCTCATCTCCTCCCAGCTTCATGGTCAGGGATATCACACTGGGAGCTTGAAAGTGACTGTGGTGAAGGTATTTACACCATGGAAATCATCGAATACCTTCCGGAAAGCTGGTCATTAAATATGTTACCAGACACCATTACCACTGGTCACTGCACTTACAACCAGCTGATACGTTAGGTATTTACTGAGTATTTCCTTATCGTTTTCCCCGTCAGTGGAATGTAAGCATGAGGAGCTTTGTCTTTTTTGTTCACTGTCATCTCCCCAGAATCTAGGAAAGTATCAAGCACAGAGGAGGTGTTCAATAAATATTTTTGCATGAGAGCATTCTGCTCTGTAACATATGTGTAGTGAAATTCATAGGTCGTTTGCCACATCCTCTTCTCTGGACTACTGGCTTCACCCTCAGCAGCTGTGAGACTTTGCCGTGCTGGCCACAGGTACGTGGTTCAAGCTGAACCAGTAAGCATCCCTAAACTACACATTTGGAGTTAAGTGAGGGAACCCAAGATGATAGTGGGTGTGTGACGAGGACGGAGTGAGAGCACAAGCCAGCAATTGGAGTGGCTGGTACTTTGAAACTTGCAAGCTTGCAAGCTATTGGTGCCCATTTCCTGTTCATCATGGGGACTGAGTAGCAAAGAAAGCTCTTCTTCCAAGAAGATGAAGTCATTTCTCAGAGTGATCCAGTTATGAGTGTCAGCCACTCCCGAGGCCTCATGTATTCTCGACCTTGGGGTCTCCCTGTATCCTTGATTTCTGTTACTTGTAACCCCAAATGTCCTAACAAACACAACCTCCATGTTTGTTTTAATATAATCTTTTAAATTACTTATCATTAGGGGGGAAAAAAAGAAAACAGCAGTGGGCCTCTATGGTTCCCTTTGGTAATTTTGGAAGGATGAGTCATGTTTAGTCTATACAATCTGAAAACACATATGTGAGGTTTGGCTCCCAGCAATTTGTCTCCTCTTCTAAGAGTCACAATATGTTGAAAATTAGGTTAAAATATAATTGTGGGTTGAAATAGCAACCTGTTTCATCAGTTTACAATGTGTGTTAGGGCCATGACTAAGGAAAAGATACTAGGAATTGACATGTGTGCAGGTCCACATTGGAGGGAGTTTCACTTAACTATTTCTTATTATATGGTCAGTTTTGGGGAGAGGGAAAGTATGATTTGAGACAGTCTCTTTTACTATGTCAAAGAAATCCTGGTCAAAGGACTCTTTCATGAACAAAGAGGATTCACGATGTTTATCTTGCCACTTACCCTGAAATTTTTATCACAGGTAAATGAACTGAAGATTTTCTATGACTTATATTCCTCACAATCAACACGTTATGGCTTTTCAGATTTCATTTTCCTCACAACAGCCTTCTTCTGTGCAGGGAACACGTTTGCAATCTGGCCTTCCACTTGACCTTGGAGAGTGGTTAGTCTCGACGTTTGCAAGTAAGCCCACTTTGGGAGACACTTTCATGGTTAGGTTGAATACTGAATTAACTCACCCTATCTGGGTTTTTCCTCTTTGTTTTGATGGTATTTTTTTTTTCATGAGGAAACAAAACAGATCAATTCTGAATTTGTATTCTGGTGATACCTTTTCTTGGTTATGCCAGCCTATGTTTGCAATAGGAGGGTTTTCAAAGCTACTTCGCATTTCATCACCATTCTGTCTAAACTGACTAGTACCCAAACTATTGTCTTGTTGTTGTTGCCTATTTGTTAGATTATTTAAATTTATATTTCATACCTCACTGAAGTCAGAGAAAAAAGAAGAGCGCTTTGAGTTGAGCCCCTGCTGGTGAGTTCAGGGGCAGCACCCCTTTGCCCAGGCCACCTGCCCAGCCCTTTTTTTCTCCTTTGACTTAAAACAGATTTGGCTGCAACAAAGGGAGTGGATTTTTCTTCGCACAAGCTGTACCTTTCAGCGTCATTCTGAAACCCACTCGAAGGAAGCTTTGAGCTACTCCTCACTTACTTTATTTGCTTTTCCTTGTGCTGTTGTGAGTCAAGACTCCTCTCTTTTTAGTTGCCAAAAGCTCTGCTGCTTTTCCTTCGAAATCTACACAATTATTTTAAAATATTTCAAAATACTTTTTTTTTTTTTTTTTTTGCGCTATGCAGGCCTCTCACTGTTGTGGCCTCTCCCTTTGCGGAGCACAGGCTCCAGATGTGCAGGCTCAGCGGCCATGACTCATGGACCCAGCCGCTCCACGGCATGTGGGACCTTCCCGGACCGGGGCACGAACCTGTGTCCCCTGCATCGGCAGGCGGACTCTCAACCACTGCACCACCAGGGAAGCCCTTTTTTTAAAATTTATTTATTTATTTTTTGTATGCATTGGGTCTTTGTTGCTGCACGCGGGTTTCTCTATTTGCGACAAGAGGGGGCTGCTCTTAGTTGCGGTGCACAGGCTTCTTATTGCGGTGGCTTCTCTTGTTGTGGAACATGGGCTCTAGGTACACGGGCTTCAGTAGTTGTGGCACTGAGGCTCAGTAGTTGTGGCACTGAGGCTCAGTAGTTGTGGCACTCAGGCTCAGTAGTTGTAGCTCATGGGCTTAGTTGCTCCGCAGCATGTGGGATCTTCCCGGACCAGGGATTGAACCCATGTCCCCTGCATTGGCAGGTGGATTCCCAACCACTGCGCCACCAGGGAAGCCCAATACTTTTGTTTTAATTGGGGTATAGTTGCTTTACAATGTTGTGTTAGTTTCTGTTGTACAACACAGTGAATCAGCTATACATATACATATATCCCCTCCCTCTTATACCTCTCCCCCTCCATCCCATCCATCTAGGTCACCACAGGGCACTGAGCTGAGCTCCCTGTGCTATACAGCAGGTTCCCACTAGCTCTCTGTTTTACGCATGGCAGCGCAGACACGTCAATCCCAGTCTCCCAGTTCATCCCACCACCCCCAAACACACAACCAAGTATAGAGAGTGACATAACAAATACCTGCCTCACTACATAGATCTAACAAATATTTACATGTTGCCTTAATTGCTTTAGGTCCTTTTTCTTACGGAAATTCAGTATTACAAATGGAAAGAAAGCTCCTTTCGTAGCCTCCTCTTTCCAACGCCTCTCCCTTCCTCATGTCTGGTTTAAAAATGTCATTACAAGAGTGACAGCTTCATGTGTTATTCCTCGGGGCTTTCTCATGTGAGAGGCACTGTGATTTAGGCCCATTTATATCTTCAAAATAAGAAAGCCCGTATTCGAAATGAGCATCCAGACACATATTCTGTGCTTTGTATGCGACAACTGCATCTACGCTTTGTAGAGTGACTCATCGTAGTGGGGACTGTGCTAGTCTCTTGTTTCCAGGCACACGAGGCTCTTCAGGCACCTCATGTCTGTCAGAACCTCGCATGGTTTCTTTCAGTTTTTAATTTCTCTTATATTCCATAGTTTCACCAGTTTTCTGTTTATGCTTCAAACTTCCCCCAACCCACGTTCCCAATTGAAAATCGTTACCCTTTGTATAAGGTCGATGAAGAATGGCACTTAAGGTTACAAAACCAAGAATGTCTGGGACCTCTATGCTAAAGCAAACTCCAGAGGCACTTCGGTGAACGAGCAAGGGGGAAGCAGCCAAAGGCTAAATCCCCTGATTCCCTTACGTGTGTGATCCTCCGCATACACGAATAGGTTGTAATGTGTCAGCCTCAGATCTGAGCTGCACGAGGCAGCCTGTGTACTCGCTTTCAAGAAGGTGACTTCCATTTAAGACGAATGAAGATTCTGGAGAAAAATTGCAGACAACCTGCCACAGGCAATAATCTATCTCCAAGTTGCCATCTCTCAAGTCTCTGATTCTAAAGCTACAATATATGAAAAGTGTGTGGGAAACAGTTGAGCTAATTCAAATGGCACATGTCTGAGCTATCAAATATTAGTAAAAGGGACTCTCTTTCTCTAGGAAAGAAAATTGTGCTGAGTTTAAGAGGCCTTTGTACCAGCGGACAACTTTCCCTTCACCACATAGCAGGTGGCCTTCAAGGGCAGGCCCTTCCAAGGTCCCATTCATTGTCATCTGGGTGATTGCGGCCCCTGCCAGCTCTTTTTTTTTTTTTTTTGGCTGTGCTGGGTCTTCGTTGCTGCACGGGGTTTCTCTAGGTGCAGTGAGCAGGGGCCACTCTTCGCTGCGGTGCGCGGGCTTCTCATCGCGGTGGCTTCTCTTGTTGCGGAGCATGGGCTCTAGGCACGTGGGCTCAGTAGTTGTGGCTCACAGGCTCTAGAGCACAGGCTCAGTAGTTGTGGTGCATGGGCTTAGTTGCTTCGCAGCATGTGGGATCTTCCCGGACCAGGGCTCAAACCCGTGTCCCCTGCATTGGCAGGAGGATTCTTAACCACTGTGCCACCAGGGAAACCCCCCTGCCAGCTCTTGTGTGGGACCTAGTGGGAAATCATAAAAATAATAGCAAACATGGGCTTAGCATTCGCCTGGCACTGCCCGAGATGGTTTATACCAGTTTATCCTCATAGCAACCCTGTTGGGCCCTGAGGTCACCCAGGAGTGAGTTGGAAGGGAGGCAGTGTGACCTGGAGCCTGGGACCCTGTGGTGGTATTGCCGCGTTCCTCTCCACCCAGCTCTCATTCAATTGCCACAAAACCACCTGGGCAGCCAGACACGTCTAATAGCTAAGTGTCTAGCAAAGGCTGCATTGTCTTTGGAGCCTTAAACACAGCCCTTTTAATTGGAATTGCTTCCTAATTCAGCTTCATATATCTCCTCTGCTCCCACACAAAAGAATCCATTGTGTTGGTCTCAGGGACAAACTGGATGCTCCTTTGATATGCTTTGCATGTAAATGTAAGGAACAAGACTCATTTGATTTCATTATATGCTTTATTGATGCGCCTGCAGCACTTTATTGTAGGTTTTTGTGACTAGAATTTCTAACAAAGGAGGGAGTGGGCTTCCAGGCTGGCAGCTCAGCCTAAAGAGGATTTACCACATCTGGCTCTAAAGAGATGCTCACTTGTGGCTGGTGTCATTCCTAAGCTTTTAAAAGGGCTGGAGGCTTCAGGAGCTGCTGCTATTCTATGACTATAAAAGTGTTATCAAGCATGAGATGAATGCTCCTTGCCACTATGCGGGGGGAGGTGGGGAGGATTTACTGAGCCCCCGAAAAGACGGGCAGGATGACTTGGTATCACTGGGGGAAGTAAATGTGCTCACATGCCAGGACTGACAGAGCTGGTACCTAATCCTTCCTACCTGCAATGACAGGCTCCTGGGACTATAGCATGGGGTTAATTATTCCCAACGTTCTTCATTATAATTCTAAATGAGATAATGATTAGAAATAGTACCTAGTCACTGAACTGTAAATGCCCAAGGCATTCTCTTGCTGGAGAAACTAGCATTTTTTCCTGTGGCGTGTTAATTCCTTTGGCACTATCTTTTGTTTTTCTTCCTCCCAGGTTTAGTTGGTCTTTTAAATAATTGGAGCCTCTACAACTCTCTCGTGCCAAATAGAAAGAGTTAACAACGACTAAAAGCTGACTAAGCACCAGGTACTTTATTGTGTTGTACTTAATCCTCACGGTAGCCCTGTGCAATTGGGAGTTTATTATTTCCGTTGTATAGGTGAGGGATGGCACAGAGTGGCTAAGTGCTTCCACTGGTGACACAGCTAGTATGCTGAGGTTTCAGGACTTGAATCCATGGAGTCAGACTGCAAAATATAAGACATTGTCTCCTAAGACCTTGAGCTTTCTTCCCTTAACACCTGGCTTGGAGGTCTGGCCATGTCTCATCTAGAAGCCTCTGAGGTCTATAGCCTTCCTGATGGACTTCATTTTTTTTTTTTTAGCGGTACGCGGGCCTCTCACTGTTGTGGCCTTTCCGGTTGCGGAGCACAGGCTCCGGACGCGCAGGCTCAGCGGCCATGGCTCACGGGCCCAGCCGCTCCGCGGCATGTGGGATCCTCCCGGACTGGGGCACGAACCCGCGTCCCCTGCATCGGCAGGCGGACTCTCAAGCACTGCGCCACCAGGGAAGCCCTCTACTATCTTTTAACAAGGCCCATCTGGGACCACACCACATCAGCCAAGGTTTTGTTAACTGAAAAATAAAAAACAAAACCGCCAAATGTGAGAGCTGTGAATTCAGTTTTATTTGGGGTCACTGAGGACTACAGCCCAGGAGACAACCCCTCAGATAGCTCTGAGGAACTGCTCCACAGAGGTAGGGGGTAAGGTCAGTATTACGTATGATTTTGGTGAAGGGGAAAGTGCAGTCAAGCACACGTCTCGGTAGAAGGCTGCTGCTAGTCACAAGGAGCAGATGTTTCCGTTAAGGGTTTTAGTGCTTTTCTAGGCATAAGAAGGTACAAGAAATTGGATTCATAAAATTTTCTCCTGAAAATACCTAGCTGAAGGCCTATTCTGTCGGTTTTTCCCAAAGCACAGAGTGCCTCATTCCTGATCTCCTTTCAAGGTGTGTTTAAAGTCAGCGACTGGACTGCAGTGGCTGGTGACCTCATCCTTTTAGGACCAAATGGAGAGCAACATTCTTTAATTTGAAGTTTCAGTGGGCACTGCACCTCACGAAAACTAATTGAATCTAGTTTTGTAAAATCAGTTCTTCACTATGAAAAGTCTTGGTATACAAAAGTATGTATCAGTAGAACAGAATTCTTAGGTTGCCTAATTGTATACACCACTAAAAGCTTTACTTTGACTTGCTGTAGAAACCCTTCAAATACTGGGCTCCCTGGAGCATTTAAAATGAGATTCAATTGATGACAAAATGGATTCATTTAAGAATGAAGGCATAAGGAAAGCAACACTCTTTAAGTAAATTCTTTCATATATATTCATATGCTTCCTTTAACCTAGAAGCTCCAGTGCTAAACATGACTAAAGGTTTTTCAAGGCTTTCACACATCAGTGGAGCCCAATTCTCTTCCCGTTCTCTTTCATTCCATTTCTAAATTGAGTATCAGAATGATAGAAAATCAGTCATCAGATAATACTTTTTAGTGATTCTAGAACTCACACACTGCTTTCTTTTATTACTCTTTGAAAAAATACCTTCAGGTTTTCTAGCTGATTGGAGAGCTGGATGAGAGCACAGTAGGGTCTAAATACTATTATCTTTCAAAGATATAGCAAAGAGCCAGAGTCGCTGACTAATTCACACGAGCACTTTGGAGGATATAATCAGTAACCTTGAGAGTATGTTTCTGGGTTTTTGTTGTTGTTGTTTTTTGGGTTTTTTTGTTTTGTTTAAACCAGCTATGATTATGGATGTGCTTCAGATGATAATCAAGTGAGTGGTGGCTTTTATTTCAGATCTAAAAAGCAATTTATTACTGCCTTTCTCACTTATGTTTCCCTGTCAAGTAGGCAGTCCCATGCTGGGCTCTTAGCAGCTGAGCATCTTCAGTTAGCTTTAATTATCATCTAGCTCATGACTTCCTTGGTAGGCTGGGTTCCCTATTTGGCCCTCACCCCTAATTTTTCTACCCCTCTCTATTAAGTTTTCTATTGTTGTGTAGCAAATTACCAGAAACTCAGTGCCTTAAAACAGCATACATTTAGGATTTTACGGGCACTGCTTAGCTGGCTTCTGCGCTCAGAGTCACACAAAGCTGAAACTAAGGTGCCATCTGGGGTTAAGGTCTCATCTGAGGCTTGGGGTCCTCTTCCAACTTCACATAGTTGTTGGCAGTTCATTTTCTTGCAGCTGTAGAATTCTTGACAGCTTGCTTCTTCAAAGCCAGCATCTCTGAACTCTAGACTCTCTTTTAAAGGGCTCACCTGGTTTGGTCAGGCCCACCCAGGATAATTTCCTTTTAATTTGAAGTCAACTGATTATAGACCTTAATCACATCTGAAAAATCTCTTCATTTTTGCCATTTAACATAACAATCATGGGAGTGATGTCCCATTGCCTTTGCCATATTCCACTGGTTAGAAACAAGTTACAGGTGCCACTGACACTCAAGGGTGTCCCTGTTGGGGGGTCATCTTAAAATCTTCCTACCACATTCTCTTTCTGAATAAGAATAGAAATGAGGGCTTCCCTGGTGGCGCAGTGGTTGAGAGTCCGCCTGCCGATGCAGGGGACGCGGGTTCGTGCCCCAGTCCGCGAAGATCCCATGTGCCGCGAGCGGCTGGGCCTGTGAGCCATGGCCGCTGAGCCTGCGCGTCCGGAGCCTGTGCTCCGCAACGGGAGAGGCCACAACATTGAGAGGCCCACGTACCACAAAAAATAAAATAAAAAAGAACAGAAATGAGGCTAGTGAGCATCCAGTAGCCACTCTCTCATGCATTCAGTACACTTTAGTGTAGATTAATCCTCAAGAAAGTGTCTTATGTCACCTATTTACATCATTGACTCATATTCCAAAGTCAGAGATCCCTGTTTCGAGAGTTTAAGGGTTTTCCTTTTTTGGGCAACTTTGACTATAGATCCAGTGGAGGCGAAAGGTGTGTGTGGTCATTTTGGATGTTTAATTGTTCTTTTCCGGAGGATATCAAGGAACAAAGAAAGCTGAATCTATTATAGAAATTTTCTTCCACCTCAAGTGGAAAAGCAAAGGTGTTTCAGGATAAGATCAGTAAGGGCCACAGGTCCAAGGGAAGTATTCAGCCTCTCCTGTGTTTGGCATAAAGTGAGTTCTTCCTGTTCCCTGGCGTCCTCAAAGGGAAAATGGCTCCAGTCATGACATTCGTAGTAAGGTTGGGCCATGGCTCTATTAGTGTTAAAAATGTTTCTCCATAAACACTTTAAAGTAGTATAATTTTCATTACCTGTACCCTTCTGCTTTCCCATTAACACCTTCTTTTCATTGTAGGTCTAGCCCTGGAAATCCTGGTAAAGCTACAAGCAGACTAAAAAGTATCATTCACAGCACAAGTGACGTGTGTAAGTAGATTTTGTAGAATTTAAGCTTCCAAAATTTGTACATTTGGAGATGTACTATTTGGAAGAGAGAATTAGAGGAACATCCACAACACATGTGTGCACATGTATTCATGTATAGTCACACCTCTCACACTTTCTCATTGCTACTCAGGTATGAGTAAAAACAATACTAATCATTTATTGAGAATAACCATGTTTCAGCCGTGTTACATATAATATTGCTTATCTATCTATCTATATATCTATCATCTATCTATCAATCATTGCTAATGTAATACAGATAATGTTGGGCTTGCCCTACCTTTGAAATTTACATAAAATTAGTTTGAATGTCCTAACTTTCTGTGGAAATCCAATTTTCTCACCAAGATTGGGATAGATTCTTGTGGTCACTGCTAGCTCTGATTTCATGTTCCTACTACATTCTCACTCTCATTGATATCTGGCCTTTGGAGCTTTTCCCTTGTCTGTCCCGCAGACCCATGGACCCCATAAAAGAACACAGGTTGTGCTCCTGGAACAGGACTGGTTACATAATTTGTAGAGCCCAGTGCAAGAAGAAAATAAGGAGACCCTCTGTCAAAAATAATTAAAAATTTCAAGATGGTGACAGGAGAACATTAAACCAAGAATGTGGCCTCTCTAAGCTTGGGGGTGCGACCGCACAGGTCACGTGCCCACAAAGGTAGCCCTGTCCTAGAATTTCCCCAAATACCACTCCTTACGAGGCAATCAGATGAACTACATATTTATTAAAGTGCTTAGGGTAATAGTAGAAGAGCACTGGGTCTAGGGATCACAGCAACTCACAGCAGAGAACTTCAGATTAAATGTTTCCCTCAAATTTCTGTCCATATCTACTGAAATTTAGTGTATCTATAGCTTCCTCTTTTTTTTCCTAATATCTTTCTAAACCATGGCCCATGCCCAGGGTTTGAGTGTGGGTGCTCATCAAAGCATTCTACTGGGCAAAAACTTGACCTACTCCTAAGAGAAACTGTCTCCTTCCCTAGGGATGGAAGTAGGAATAGTTGTATTTTAAATAGCAAATTATTCTTATTCTCACGGCTCAAATTATTCTCTTTTGTGCAAGGTATTATTATTATCATCCTCATTTTACAGGTAAGGGGTTCTGATGCTCAAGAAAACATAGCTGGTGAAATGATATCTAGCTTCAACTTTTGTATTCTTTCCACTAAGCTTGCTGCTCTCTAAATCTGGAAAGGTTTTTGAGAAATCACAAATTAGCCCCCGAATATGCCAAGACTATCTCTATGGAGGTGCAGCCTGGTATAAATCTTTCAGTGGTTCCACTAGAACCCAACAGTTTGGACTATTGGTGTCAGATTATCGTGTGAAGCAAGGTTAGCCAGAGGGCTGTCATGGAGGAAGGTTAGACTATGTCCCTCTTCCTTTCCTAGGCAATATGGGATTTAAGGACTGTTTAAGATCCCTTTCTTCAACTCTTTATGGAATTGGAGACCATCATTATTACCTTTATGCTCTATGTACAGTGAAAAAACATAGCTATCCTCTTGGGACTGTCAGAGCCACTCTTGTTACTGAATTTCCCTCTTTCTCCACAAGGGAGGAAGAATCCTCCAATACTTGGCAAACATCCTTGGAGATATTTTGTGCATTGCTGGTGTTTGTACTGTGGTCAGTCCATCATTCAGTCTTAGGATAACCTAATTCAAAACCACCCGAGCCATCAAACCATTTATGTATTTAAGCTGGGTACATGTGAACGTGCTGCAGTCCACTTTTTGGACCAAATTTCAGTATGAAAATGCCTCCTTATGAATAGAGTGATTATATAATTCATCATCCAAATCTGGACAGTTTTAAGAATGAAAGGGTACTAAAAAATTAATTATATAGTTTTAAAAAATGTACATTTATTAACCAACAAATTAGTTTTATTAGAATGGTAGACCTATGAAGTCTGTTCAAAGACTATTTTCAAAAAATAAATTATTTTTCAAGAACAAAAATAATAGAACAGTGTACATGAAGAAAAAATTTTAAGTTATTTATGTCTATTATCTGAACTTTGAAATGATATCATCTGAATAATTAGTCTCGATATATATTAATGTGCTTTAATCAGTTGCACAGTGTTCTGATAATTAAGCCGATTGTATTTTCCTGATTTTTTTCAATATGTTGTTATTAAGTTAAATGTTCACATATAAATGCTCACAATCATCTTAAAGATTATATTTTAAGGTTTATAAATTTTCAAATTGTTAACACCTTAAATTGGCTCTTGTCTGAGAAAATACTCTCTATAGATGCTGAGATACTTGTTAAGCTCAGAGCAAGCAAATTCTGCTAAGTAAAATATATTTTCAATTTAAATCTTTAATTTGAATTTTCAAATTGAATATTTCAGCCAAATAATTTCACAAAGACTGTCTTTTTGTCTCTATTTATGATAACTATTTCAACAAATAATTTTATAAACAAAAGCTCATTAAATAAAGTTTTCACCATTTATAAATCTTTTGACTCTTTTACCAAATTTAAATGCCCCCAAACTGTAGACCTTCTCAGATTTCTTTCTGAAACAAAATATAAATTTATCCAGTTAAAAACAGGAATTTTATCAAAAGATACTTCCTACAAGATGAGATATTCCCAGGTACAATCACAGAATTTCAAATCATACTTGGGGATTATTTGAACTCTCCTTTCTGGGTTGTTCACTTTCTATCTTGCTTGTATAGGGATACATTTCAATATCTTCTTATTTTTAAGCTTTGTTTTTAGTAATTGTGATTTCATTAAACTTCAGAAGCTGAACTGTTTGGCATTCCATTCAATAAATACTTTAAGTATTTCCAGCTAATTTTGAATGAAATGGAGCCAAATTTAGAAAACTTGTTTATAAAAATGTTCAATGCCATTGACGGGCACTTAAGTTGATATAGAATATAGTTCTTCAAGACTCAAGCATTTCTAAATCTTATATCAGACAGGAAGGAGAGAAAGCATGTAATGCCATGTTGGTATAATTTAGAGTCTTTAATATCAGGTTTGTAATTCAGTAATGCTATGTGTAGGTAATTATATTTATCCATTTTCCTAATTGGATCTTCTGTGGATATAACTACTGTATAAATTATATGAGCACTACACTAATTGTTATACACTTCTGTTCCATAACTGGAGAACACTGTCTTTACCATGACGGTCTGTTCTACCAAAACTTGAATTATTATCACAAAAAATTTTTATTTTAAGTGTCAAACTTTTAAATGGAATTTTCAGTAGCATTCACAATAATATCAGATGTGGAAGAATCAACGTCTAAAACCTCTACTTTGATTCCATGAACTGGATGAAAAACAATGAACCAATATTGCAATTAAAAGATTTTTCTATTTGAAGTAAATGACGACACTAGCATAAAACTGGTGGCATTTAATTGTGATTCTAATATTACTGAAGATAACACATAACATCTCTTGTTTTACTTTTTCTATGTACACAAGAAAACTTGGAATTGAAAATATATTGGAATGTGTTTAGGAGAACAGTCATTTGATTTAAACATGATCTAAACACATGCTTCACACAGTGAGTATAAATGCACCTTCCGAAGCTTTAGTGGTTAACATTTTTCCCAGCGCATTCTTCTTAAAATAACTATTAAGCATCGATATTGATGCTTCCTTAGTAGATTTAGTCTTCTGGCTCTCATGCGGTCAGTGATATCACTGTGACCCCCATACAGAGAATGATAAACGTCAACAAACGTTTTGTCCAAGAAACATGTTCATCATCAACTTTCTTGGATGTTTAGTAATTTTCCACTAAATATACTCCTTCATTTTTATTGAATTCATTGTGGTTAAAAGGACTTATTTCAGTGTAAACATGTTATCAACAAAATAAACAGTTGTAGATTTACAATAAATGGCTAAACTACCATGTAAGAACTTAATCTCTAGACTCTCTCACATATGTTACAGTAGCGTGTCTCTATGTCTCATGTTTCTCATTGATCCCAGCATCTCTCTGGCTCTGATGGAGTTCTCTTAAATCTACTCCAGCTTATCTTAATGCAACAATTGCTAATTATACTTTGTTTAAAAATGAAAAATCGAGAAAAAATTCTAAACCACGTGAGATACTGGACAACAGGCATAAACCAGGACTGTCCCAAACAAAATGAGACATAGAGACATCCTGCTGATGAAGAATGTAAGCTGTGCTCTCCAATATTCTAGGATTTACCCATAAAGCCTGCACACTTGTCAAAATATCCTCAATTAGTGTTATTATAATGTGAGACCTTATGAATTAATTTTCCATGCCAGGCTGACCTTTATTATTATTTTTTAGGTTAAAAAAAGCTAAAGTAATATTTAATGAGGTAAAATCTGTTATAAACATCATCAAAACTTGCATATTAGAAGTGAAAATTATTAGTTTATTTTTTATTTTTACTTTATTTTTTATAAAGTAGTTAGGAAGTTAAGTTTCATTGTGTTTATCTCCATGCTTTCTGAGATACTGTTGCTATTAAAAATGCCTTGTACTTAGAACTGCTAAAATAAAAATAGTGACAATACCAAGTGCTGGTGAGGATGTGGAGAAACTGGATTTCTGACACAGCCATTCTGGAAAATAGCCATGGCCGCTGAGCCTGTGCGTCTGGAGCCTGTGCTCTGCAACGGGAGAGGCCACAACAGTGAGAGGCCCACGTACCGCCAAAAAAAAAAAAAAAAAGCATTTACCATAAAAGCAATTGTACTTGGGCATTTATCCCAGAGAAATAAAAACTTATGGTCAAACAAAGACATGTGCATGGATGTTTATAGAAGCTTTATTTGTAAAAGATAAAAATCAGAAACAACCCTAATGTCCTTCAATAGTTAAACAAGCTGTGGTACATCCTTACCATGGAATAGTACTCACAAGAGAAAGGAATGAGATATTGATCCATGTAACAACTTGGATGGATCTCAAGAGCATTATGTTGAGTTTAAAAAGCTAATCTCAATAGGTCACATACAGCATGATTCTATTTCCGTAATATTCTCAAAAGGACAGAATTATAGATATGTAGAACATATTAACGGTAGCCAAGGGTTAGAGACATGGGTGAGTGCAACTAAATAGAAGTAGCATGAGGGAGTTCCTTGATGGTGATGAAACAGTTTGTATCTTGTGGTAGTGATTATATGAATCTACACAGGTGATAAAATTTCATAGAATTACACACACACACACACACACACACACACACACACACACATACGAGTGCAACTTCCTGGTTTTGATATCACACTGTAGTTACCAATGTTCTGAACTCTTTGGTAAATTGTTTATGTCTGTTTCATTACCCTATAGCTATATAAGATGATGACTGGGGGAAACCGGGTGAAAGGTACTACTTTTGCAACTTTCTGTGAGTTTATAATTATTTTCAAATAAAAAGTTAAATGAAGAAACAAAAATACATTTGCCCCTTTTATGTTGTATCTGATATTATGATATCTGCTTACCTGGAAAGGAAAAGTAATGATCAAATGATTTCAAGTTTCAATTATCTTTTTTTCTTTCTTCTAATCTGTATTTCTTATTTGTTTTGTGGTGAATACATATTATTAACATAATAAAAATAATGAGGAGATAAAGTAAAGGTTGGATTACTAATGTCAAGGTGGATTGAGGTGAGGGAAGAAGCAGCAGCAGAGATAGTGGCCACCAGAGAGAAACAGGGGCTGTATTTTTTTTTTTTTTCTGGTACACGGGCCTCTCACTGTTGTGGCCTCTCCCGTTGCGGAGCACAGGCTCCAGACGCGCAGGCTCAGCGGCCATGGCTCACGGGCCCAGCCGCTCCGCGGCACGTGGGATCCTCCCAGACCGGGGCACGAACCCATGTCCCCTGCATCAGCAGGCGGACTCTCAACCACTGCGCCACCAGGGAAGCCCCAGGGGCTGTATTTTTCAACGCAGGGCATAATGCATGCATAATGGACACCCCCCAATAGGTGCGCAATGATAGTTTACTGAATGAAAGAATGAATGTTCAAAAGGTGTTAGACACAAGTCAGAGCAGATGGAAAGAGGTTCAGAGAGAGGCTGGAAAGCCATCAGGTAGCAAATAGAATGGCTTCCAGGGCACATAACTGGAATCTGTTTTAAAAAAAAAAGGACTGATAATCTCTAAATGTGGAAGAAATCTAGGTCAGAACTGTTTAGACCAGGCTTAAATGCTAAAAAAGTCTCATTGAGTTCAGAGAATAAACCACTTGGACCACTAATACTTCCTTGGAGCTGGTAAGCCAACATTGTGTCAGGTAGGAAGGTAGCTTTTTGTTCTAAAGAGCTAAGTGGGTCTACGATATGTTGAAGTCCTGCTAGGCATAGGTTCCATACCTTAGAGGAAAGACCAACATCCCATGTCTCTCAGAGCAGAACCGTGTGAGTTTCAAAAATGATCTGAGGGTTTCTTGGAGTAAGTCATTACCTTAATCCCACAGGTCAAGTTTAGCTCGTGACAAGAGAAGAATGGAGATTGGATTCTTTGCTGAGCCTAAGTAACCTGAGATTGTCTGACGGGGACTTCCATTAGCCCCGTGTTCACTAAAGCTTGCCACACCACCAGCAATGGTTTGCACCTTGCCTCAGCGTCTTTGTGGATGCCAGGTGAGAGGCTCAGCCTGTGCCCCGTGCGTGGTGTGGGCTCTTCATCAGTCACGTGTGTCAACCACACAGGCACATTTAAGTGCTGCCTTCCCTCTTGTAGTAATTGTTATTATGTAAACAATCTAATCTGAGTGCTAATACATGTAATTTCACTGAACTGACAGTAATGAATCTTGAGTGTGCTGTTCCACAGACTTGCTTCTTTCCCAGGTGAGGGGTGGCAGTGATGAGCATCCCTTCTGTGGCCACACAGAGTCCACGGCTTTTCAAGGTCTTCAGAGGAGCACTTCAGTTTTCAGGTCAACACCCCTTTTCTTCATCAACTTTGAGTGAAAATCGTAATAAAACACACAACGGGTTGTAATGGAGAAGCAGCATACTGTAATTTGAGAGAAGAATTACAGATTTTTAGAATAATATTTGATGGTGCTTTGGAATATTTTTATGGTTGAACACTTATGTCCTGGGAGCAGGACTCTGTGAGCCTACCTACTTTTACCAACTAAGCCACCCAGTTTCACTTCTAGTCTGTGGTCAGTTGTCTTCACGGTCAGTCTCCTGGCTGAGACATATACGCAGAGCTTCTGGTTCCAACCCTCGCATTTTAGAGTTCAGAGAAGCGGAGGCCACAGGTATAGGAGGGACAGAGCTGGTCCCAGAACGTGCCTCATCCTTCTCATTGCAGTGCCACTTCTTCCAGGCCGTGCACCACCTTTACAGGCTGCAGGACACCAGAGGACCAGGGACCAATTGTTAGGAGAGAGGCCAGGGGACAGTTAAAAGTGATATTACTATGTGGCGTTCACAGCTGCGAGGAGTGATGGCAGCCAGATGTATTCATTCGATCCATTCGGTGATTATTCATCCAGTAACTTTCTATGTGCTGGGGACTGGTTTAGGCACTTGGGAAACAGAAATGAACAAAATTGCAGAATTCCTCATCCTCATGGAGGCCACATTGTAGCAAAAGGAAAAGGAAGGGCACAGTCCTGACTGTGGCCCAGTCCTGTCCTCAACAATGTACATATGTTAACTCATTGAATCCTCACAATGGCCCTTTGAGGTAGGTAGGATTGTTTTTTTGTTTGTTTTTTTTTTTGGTAGGATTGTTAATCACATGTTGCAGGTAAAGAAACTAAGGAACATGGAATAAAAATTAAGAAACTTGCTCAAGGTCATGCAGCGAGTAAATAACCAGCCTAGGATCCAGCGCTAGCTATTTGGCTGTGAATTCCTGCTCTGAACCACTGCACTTGACTGCCTGATTCATGAGTGAGGTTAGAGCCGTGGTCTTCTTTCTTTTCTTTCTTTTTTTCTTTTTTCCTGTAAGCAGCGAAAGCCTCCCTCTTTTTAGAAATGAACTTCCATGTGGAGGACCAAAAAATAAAATAATAAAAGTGGCCCTGTTCTGGATGAAGAGAATGGAGAGGGTGGGGAATTCACATTGTTCTCGCCGGATGGCAGGAGCTGATCAGTAGATGCCTGCTTCCAGAGAGCCTCTGCTCCTCCTTGGTTCCCACCCTGTTAGACCTGGCACCCTGCACCAAGGCTTTAGAAAGAGCTGGAGTGGATGTACGGAAAATGGGACAACAGACACGTCTGGGTCAGCCCTGGGAGGTTAGAGGCGTTGTAGTAGTGGTGCCAGCAGAATAACTCAGGAATTTTCAGTCTATACCCCGACAGTGTGTGTTCGGGGGACTCTCTCCCATCCTTTGAGAATAACTGATGCTGTGGTGCTCTTCTGTGACTGATGGCAGAGGGTCTTATAAGGGGGAGAGTGGGAGGTTGAAGGTACACTGAAAACCCGGGGATGCTTTTCTGCTTCTCATCATTCCTTCTTTTGCCTCCTGCCTTGACTATCTCTGGCCCTGCGTGATGGAGCCACAGACAGTGCCAGAAAGAGGCCTCACAGCTCTCGGGCTGATGGTGTGTATCCCTTTGAACATCCACTGAGGTCAAGTTTTACAGACTTCTAATGGCTACTGTGGCAGTATCGAGGCAATGGCCTTCTAGTGGCACCGTTATTTCACCATCTCTTAAAAGAGTAGAATAAATATTACCCCTGCTCTTCCCAAGGAACCTGCCCAAAGTTGCCAGATTCAAAGATTCAAAGGGCAGTTCCTGGGGTATTTTGTTTCCGAAAGTCCTGGAACGGAGCAGTTTATAAAGTCATTTTGCTAAGCCTTTCTTTTGCAGCCACTCCCATTCCCAGCCCTCAGTAATCAGCTGGAGGTTTGGAGATCACTTGCCCTGGCCAGCCTGGAGGTAGCTTTTCCCCAGCTACTCCTCCAGGTTCCTTTTCACTGGCCTCTGCTTTGAATTGTTAATTTCCTCTCTGAAGGCACTGTCTGACTTTGTTAGCAGGTCTGACACTGTCTGGCTGCTTGCAAAGAGCAACTAGTGCCAATAAGGTGCCAGCACTCTTCTAGGCATGGGAGACATAAAGGGGAAAAAATCCTTTTTCTAACCTCAAGGTGCTCACAGTTTAGTGGGGAGACAGCCAGGTAAACACGAAATCACACCGTGGTGTGATATCGTATTGTAATTGTCAAAGGAAGGCTGTAGTGGGAACGGGACAGAAGGATGCCTCATGTGCTTGGGAGAATCAGGGAAGCCTTTCCGAGTGAGGCAACCTAGAGCTGAGACTTGGAAGGAAAGGAAGAACTTCAGGGATATGTACATCAAGTTGGAAGAAAACCACTGCCACGGGCTTTGTGGCATCACGCCACATGCCATATCTAAGGCACTGACTGGGCTGTGTTACCAAAAGAGAGAGGCACTGGGTTCCTATTCCTACTTCTCTATAATCAGGACAAATCAGAAGTCTTAGTTTAGAAGTTGATCATTGCTTCCTTTGAATTCTCGCCAGAACCTCCTTGAGAACCGGTGCTTTTTAAAATTTCACTTTCCCCTTTCCCATCCCATCTCACCCCCAGGAACAAATGTAATGACTTTGCCAATTAGCACTAAATAATGGGAGCTGAGTTGAACAATGAAAGAATAAAATGGGAAATAAAAAATGGAAATTAGCCAGCCAGATTGGGGAGAGCCTTCAATATCAGGCTAAGGCATGTGGGCTTTACTTGGTAGCAGAAGCAAGAATCTGATGAGACAAGTAGTAGTAGTGGAGACAAGTTGGAGCTAGAGCTAAGGTTTAGGCCGTCTTCAGTAGGCTGCAAAACATTAGCTGAAAGCAGCCAGATGGTAAAAACTTCTCAGTGAAGAGAGAACCCGAAAAGAAAAGAAACGAGAGCTGCACATGTAATCTTGAAGACACAACAGTTAGAGAGCAGACCCAGAAAAACCTGTCTTAAAGCATTGGCTTCCACGTATGCGGATATTAATAGCACCACCCAGTCTGTCTGCTTCTAGGAGTCATTGAAATAATGCAAGAAAAGTGCTTAACACATTGCCTGGTGCAGAGCACTTAATAAATATTACTCTTCATTATTATTATAGAAGAGTGATTTTTTTTGTTTTTTGCATTGAGATAAGGTCAACTGATGTACAAATACTAATTGTTAATATATGCATTGATGATTTGTTGCCCGGTAACTATGATTTTTGAAGTGACAAACTCATTTCAGTGTTTGCCTTTTAATTAAAATGGGTACTTCGGCATTTTAAAATTCATTTTTGAAGGAACCCCCTACTGAGCTGCAGCATCTCAGGCACAGCAGGGGTATACTACCATTTTTAAAAAGCCAGCTAACAATTAATGTCATAATTTTATATTTATCCTGCTAATTACGGCAAAGACAAATCCCAGTTTGTCCACGACTGTGCAAACAAACAAAGAAGGCTTAGCACCATGAGGCAAGTTACTTGCAAATTTGCATATTAATTACTGTTTACCACCTCTGCTCCTGTGGCTGATTACTTCTAACAAAGAGCAGACGTATACAGTGGCTTGGATCGTCTGAGACAACCTGAAATGCAGCCCGCCACTCTCTGAGCGGGCTAGAAGGCTGCTGTGCTTACTAGTGGTGACATGACCAGAAGGGAACAGTCCACACTCCTGGCTCAAGGGATCTTTATGTGAAGAGCCATTAAGGTTTCTGAGATGCATTTTATAAAGCATAACAGACAACAAAAGTGATCCTACAGATTCTCACTCAAATAAGACCATCTTTGCTTTAATGTACTTTGGAGCAGTATTATTCTTGATGTGTGCTATACAGTGTGAAAGATAATATCTATTTTTCTGTGTGTGCTTTGAAAGGTTACTCGTCCATTATGATTAAACCCTGGGTACAGCACCCTGGAGTAAAAGATTTCCTTAGACTCATGAATCTACTTTCTTTCCTCAGTTTTGGCGCCAGTTGCCAGGAGGACAGGGTGCTCTGGGTGGAGACACCCAAAATCCAGTCCTGTTTTCTCCTGATGGTGTTGAATGGATTGGGACAGTCTTATGCCTGTCTAACCCGGGAAGGGACGTTTAGTGTGTATTGGAGAATTTTAACTTGGCTGTAATTGGAGACAAAAACCACATAAGTTGATTTAAAGACACTAAGCCTGAAAGAAATTCTTTGTGCTCACAATTCGGAATAAGCAAAAGCAGCCTCCTCTTGAGACAAAGTCCTGTCCAACAAAACCCCTGATGGAGGCAAGAGAAAAATCAATGGAAAAATTTTAATGCTGACATAAGCATAATATATTATGCATGATAATCTTCAGACTATGAAATCCACTTACGGGCAAACATTTGAAAAAGCAGGGGCTGCTTTACAAGGTGACTTCAGCTTCCTGTAGTTGTGTGAAAAATGTTCAAAGTGTAAGAACAGGACAACTCCTGTCTGTTTTTAGTCTCTGAAAGAAGAAAACAAATACTTGTATTGGTAATGGCTCAATAGCCACTCCTTAGGAAAGTCACAGTAATATTACAGTAATAATAACAGTAATAATAGCTAACAGCTATCAAGTGCTTACGCTGTTCCAGGCGCTTAATATGCATGATCTCACTTAATCCTCAAAATGAAGAGGGTTGAATTTTTCATCCCCCTGAAAATAGCTGGAGACTGAAGCTCAGAGTGATTAAGAAACTTGCCCCAAATCACAAAAGTAGAAAGTGGAAGAGCTGGGATTTGAACCCAGGCAGACTGACTCTACAGGCCACCATGCTATGCTGCTTCTCATTTTATATATTAGGAAGCTGTAGTTTATTTTCCTAATGCCCCAGGTTTTGTTGTTAAGTTGGAATTCTATTCCAGTTTTCTGAGCTCCAAAACTCATTATCTTTACATTCCTCCATGCTACCTTCCCTAATTAAAACAAAGCATTAGATTTGAAATATCCTAATATATTAGAGCAGAGGTCAGTGAACTAACTGACCAAATCTGCCCACTGCCTGATTTTGTAAATAAAGTTTTATTGGAATGCAGCCATGCCCACTTGTCTAAGTGTTATCTGTGGCTGCTTTTGTGTTACAGTTGAGTCATTGTGATAGTCAGTGTAAGGTCCACAGCCTAAAATATTTCCTGTCTGGCTGTTCACAGAAAAAGTTTGTTGACTCATGACTTATACAAAACATTTCTTTTCTTTTTCCTAACTAACCTGTGGCCCAAGTCTTCAGCAGCAGCAGCTTTGAGCAAGAGAATAGGTGAAGTGATGACTAGCCTGGCTAACTGTGCTTATTTTAAATCTGAGAGTGTCTGGGGCCTCTGGGGACAAGCGAGCACAAGGACAGAGGCTTGTTATTAGTCTTTGCTGTTTTCTCTCTACCTGTCCCAGAATCCCAAGAAAAACTATTCCCTCCTGTATCCCCAGCACCTTCAGCACTGCCAGAGATATAGTGGATACACAGTAGATAATTGTTGAATTAATAGTCAGAAATATCTTGCAATAGACCGTGAATTCTGTCTCCAGTCAGTCTCCAGGATGGAGTTCAAGCGCCTTAGCCTGACAGTTGCGATCCTGTCCCCTCCCCCTACGTATCATAACTCATTTGCCTATGCAACACTTTCTATTTTTTCAAGACTTAACTCCTGACCATTTGACCACTCAGGAAGGTCAGGTTTGCTAGGTGGGCCAGATCACAGCTGGCTTTGGAAGAGGACTGAGGTGTTCAAAACGATGCTTATGATATGCAAAAGAACCTGTAGGGGGCAGAGACTAGAGGCTAAGGGATCAATTAGGAATCTATTTGAGGTGATAATTGTGTAGACAAGGGCAATGAGAATAGAGAGGAAGGGACAAATCGGAGAGACATTTGAAAGGAAGCATCTTCAGGAATTTGATGACTTAGTGATCTGGGGGATGAAGAGGGAAGTGTAACAGAATAAGAATTTTAGTGTTAGGACTAGTAGATTTTGTTGTCATTGACAAAAATAGATACTCTCGGAAGAGAAGCAGGGTAAAGGGAGCGAGACAAAGTGTATCTGGAATTAAGACTGGGATTATCCTTCTGATGATACCTGTGTGGAATAGGATATGTGGCATTAGTGCCACTTTCGAGGTGAGGCCTAGAGATTTTGACCCAGTAAGAATTGACAAACACAACATTGTAAATCAACTATACTCCAATAAAAACTTCAAAAATAATAATAATAAAAAGAATGGACAGGGCTTCCCTGGTGGCGCAGTGGTTGAGAGTCCGCCTGCTGATGCAGGGGACACGGGTTCGTGCCCCGGTCCGGGAAGATCCCACATGCTGCGGAGTGGCTGGGCCCGTGAGCCATGGCCACTGAGCCTGCACGTCCGGAGCCTGTGCTCCGCAACGGGAGAGGCCACAACAGTGAGAGGCCTGCGTACCGCAAAAAAAAAAAAAAAAAAAAAGAATGGACAAACTGACTCATTGATTCATTCACTCAACAAATATTTGAGCAGGCATAGTGTGCCAGGCACAGTTCTAGGCCCTTGGGATATATCAGTGAACAAAACAAAGATCCCTGCTTTTATGGAACATGCATTCTAGCAAGAGACAGGCAATAAATAATGAACATAATAAATAAGTATATAGTGTAATAACGTGTTAAGTGCTATGGAAAAAAGACAAGGTAAGGCAGGGCAAGGTGGCTGGAGGCTCTGGGGGCAGGTGAAGGCCTTTGCAATTTCCCAGATAACATCTAGAGCTCCTTTTCTCTGATCAGTGGTTTGTTATTCATTTTCTGACCAAACTGTCAGAAGAAAAAATTGTAGGGCATTGGCTACTGTGTGATATTTTAATAAAGATACTCTGTATGCCACATCTGGTGGCAATTAAAAAAAGGGAAACTTCTCATGGTTCCCATTTCCTGAATGAGTAGCACTGCAATGAAATTTCGATGAGTTGAGGCTGATAATTTTCAGCAATTTAAATGTCGTTGCCTTTCCTAGAAGGAAGAGCTTTGTTTGTAAACAGCTGGGTCAAAAGAAAACGTAACCTCATTATTCACATTCTTCTGATAGGCTCCCAGTCAGAACATATGGGGCAGAAGGGATATACAGGGGCCTGAAACATAATCACCTAGCTTTGGGGTTTTGTTCTTTGTGACGATGGGGGAAAGGTAAAGAGCTAATTTCATTCTTTCTTAGAAGACAAGTTGGACGGGATGACAAACTTTTTGTAAAGACCGAGAATTCAAGCAATTACCTAGTGATGCATAGCAACATATCTGCATGCTTGCCTTCTTGGATTATTGAGGGTCAAAGTCCCCGCTTGGGTCACACGCTAAACAGCTCTCAGTTTTCTGTGTTTCTTCAACAGGATATGATATGCCAAAGATCCACTTTAATTTCTACTGCCTTCCATTGCCAAGATGCTTATTTGGGGTCCTCAGAGGAGAGGGGATATTTAAAAAGGAAGGAGGGAGGAAAGAGAGGGTGATGTGGTTTGGACAGTGTCAGGAGACACAGTTGGTCCAGATTAAGAGAGTGGTATGCGTTGTAATTCTAAAATGACCTCAGCTCTATTGAAAATAGAGAAACTTAATTCTTTGATGTGGAAATGAGCTAAAAGGGGAAGGAAAAGGTATACTTGTAAGCTCTGGGCTTTTTTTTTCTGTGTTGCTTTTCCTAAGCCAGTGAAATCCTCCAGGTGCAAAGGGCAGCCTGATGCTTGAAGGGACACCGGTCATGCAGCAGCCCCAGATTTCCCTCCCTTTGTAGTTGACTGAAGCAGCTGCAGCCACAGCAGTTGGCAAGGTAAGATCCTGGCTTCCTGGAAAAATCCTGAGAAGAACCCAGCGTCAGTCAGAGTATATTTGGGTCTTTTCCAGGTGCAGGTTAACTAGGAAGAAGGGCTTGAGGTTGGAACAGTTTTTAACATAAAACTTTCTGTGCTCAGAGAAGTGGGCTCACATGCAGCCATCTTTGGAAACGAACCATTTAAAAAAAAAACTTTTATTGAAATATATTTGATTTACAATGTTGTGTTAGTTTCAGGTGTATGTCAAAGTGATTCAATTATATATATATATTCTTTTTTTACATTCTCTTACATTAACAGTTATTACAAGATATTGAGTAGAGTTCCCTGTTCTCTATAGTAGGTCTTTGTGGTTATCTATTTTATATATAGTAGTGTGTATATTTTAATCCCAAACTCCTAATTTATTACCCACCCCCCACCCCGCTCCCCTTTGGTAACCGTAAGTTTGTTTTCTTTGTCTGGGAGTCTATTTCTGTTTTGTAAATAAGTTCATTTTTTTAGATTCCACATATAAGCGATAGCATAGGAAAGGAAACATTTTCAGTTAGAAGAGCCCTCACCAAAGTATGTCTTCAGTGGAAATGCATTTGTTTAATATTACATTAGTGATTTCTACCCCTTGTACCTACCCAATTCAACAAGCATTTTATTAAACTCCTAGTACGTTCTTAGGACTCTGTGAGGTGCTACAAACTGTCATGAAGGAGTAAACCTGAATTAATGACAAAAGAAAATGAAACCATTTTTTAAGAATCTTCATAGGAATTCCATTATGGGAAGCAATAAGAAAGCATGGATCCCACATTAGTGATACCTCCTGCCATTCCTTATCCTTATACGCAGCACACACACAAACACACACAGACGTGCTCAGGTAGAAATGCTCTTTGGGTAAAAATACCCATGGCTTTTTACGCAGTGCCAGTTGGCCTGGCTGGGCTACCCCATGGTGTTGTCTCATTGATGAAATGCTGATTAAGTTGCTTTATGCTCCATAATGGACCAGTGGGTCATTCTCTGTTTCTTGTCAACTTCAAACAGGCTGGGCAGTCTGAGTGTGTTTTAACTCTACTGACCCCAAATGCCTTTTGTCTTTATCAGACTTTATTCTTATCTTTTCAGAAATGGAATGGTTCCTCTTTTTCCTGTTTCCTCAATATTTTCCTAAAAGACACAAACTTACAGAAGTTGTTTCTGAAAGTGGAGCTGACTGGAAAAGTACCCAGTTTTGTTTCTAGATATCTATTTGTAGAATTTTCCAAAGTCAGTCTGTCAGAGACAGGGGATTCCATCTCTATCTACCTTGAAAGGCGATTGAATTAAACAAGCATTTGGTGAGTATCTGCTTTGTATCTGGCTTTGTTCTGAGGGAGTTAGAGAGGAAGTAGGATTTGTCCCTGCCCTTGAGGAAGGAAGTAGGATTTGTCCCTGCCCTTGAGGAGTTTAGAGTCAAATTGAATAAGAGGCAACACTAATTAAGCCAAGAATTTACTTATGAGTTTTTGAATTCACATTCTTGGCTTCAGTGTTTCTATGTATAATGGCCAAAAGGTTCCAGTACTTTTAATCTATGTATCATAGTAGATTTAGTTGTCCATGAAAAAAGGCCTCTCTAACCCAAATGAAGGAAACTCAGTCTAGACGTTGGGGATACTTTAACTAATTTTCAAGCTAATTTGGCTTAATTAGTTCTTTTCCTAATAGTACTTTGTTCCAGACTCTATGACTTTGAACATTAAGCACTCACCCAGCCACTTTCCCTGCAGAGGTAAAGCTGCATCAGGCATGAATCCAGTTCTCAAGGAGCTCACTGCCAAGCTCAGCAGGTGAGACAGAGCACGAGGGGAAAAGGCATTGGTGCACAAGAACAAGAACCACGGGACCAGTAACTGGGGTCTTGTCCTGAGAGGCTGTGAGAATCACTCCACTGCTTTTTCTTCAGGGTAACTTCATCTCCCCACATCATGATTTACTGTAAGGATTGTGGGAAATGCTTTGCCCCCTTTGGATGAAAGGTGTATTATATAAGGTCTGTAAAAGGTTTTTGGATACGTTTAGGAAAAAATAAGTGATAACAATGATAGTAATATCTAGCATTTATTGAATGCTTATTATATGCCTGGCATTAAACTAAAGATGGGAATATGGCTTTAATCTGTAACTCTATTTTATATCCGTTGAGCCCCAAATTATCAAAATATTTATTTCTAAATGTGCCCTGTTCATAATCTGTTTTTAATTGTTAACCTGGGTGATGGTTTCATGGGAATTCATCATACCATTCTCTCTACTTTTGTGTTTTGAAATTTTCCATAATCAGAGGCCACGCAAAAAAAAGGAAGGGGCCAAATAAACTTCATTAACCTAAATAATACCTCAGATAAACGATGAAGGTGAAGAAAGAAGGAAGAACACCGTTCTTCAGCATTTATAATGTACCAGATCCTTCATATACTGTCTGTGACTTAACTGTGATCCCATTTTACAAGTAGGGCAACTGAGGCTCAGAGAGATTAAAAGACTTCTTTAAGGAGTTGAACGCTGGCCAAAGCTTATGTATGCTCTTTCCAATGCACCATATTGCTCTGTGGGTCCATATAGTTTCTAAGGGCAGGATCCCTGTGTTTCATCTTGGCAGCCTCAAGTGCCAGTGGGTGAAATCACAGTTCAAAACCAGATAAAATGTTTTGAAAACAATATGACATGTATGCTTTAGGAAAAATTTCGAAGCAATATATGAAAACTGGCAAAGCAATGGTTAATGATAATTTATATCTGAGAGGAACGTCCTTAAATGTCCATTCTGTGTGTGGGAGGGCGCAAGCACGTATAACATTGGGGACTTTGGGGTAACCAACATTTATTTCCAGACATTTCACAACCTCCCTTTAAGGTTAGGTATAAGGCCCATCTCCCAGATGAGTAAAACGAGGCTGAGAGAGGTCCAAGTTGGCAACACCAGCGTATGGTGGTGCAGCCGTGGAGTGGGGCGCAGCTGGAGTTCAAATCCAGCCTGGCCTGACTCTCAGTGTACATCCTCTCACCACAACAGTGAGTGCTATGTTAGAATCGGATTCTTTCTTCTGTGGAAACAGCATGTATTAAAGGTTAGAGGGGGTCAACCAAATTCCTCCATGGGGCCTGGGAGGGGGAAGAGTTGGGTGTGACAAGATGGCAGCGTTTCTTTATCACGAGGCAAAACTCCCCCCCACTCTGTTTGGATTTAGTCTGCACGGACCAAACTGAACAGAAGCGAATTGTCCCATCTGTTGTCAAAACCATCCTCCCTGACTTCAAAGAGTCCCGGCCCCGGAGGGAGAGACCCCCGGGGCGCAGAGGGAGATGGAAGCGGAGCCCCTCGGCCTCCTGTCAGCCGCTTCAGTCTCTGGGGGCTGGAGCCGCTGCCTGTCATCCCAGCTGACTTCTCTTTGAATCTGCGGCTCTTCACCACCCCCTGCCTTCCCCTCCGCTCAAACAGACCCAAGGCCCGATTTCTGTTTGAAGTGGACGTGCTACTCTTCACACTGCGGGCGCTGCCGCGGAGGTGCAGCGGCATTAGAGGAAGCGGCTCCCTGTGGGGCGAGGCCACCTAAGCCTCAGGCGGCAGCCTGCGCTTTCAGGCGCTCTCGGGGCGATAATGGCATTCTAGACTTTTCCACAGGGGTCCTGAGGCCCCCGAGGGATCTTAATTAAAGTGGCTTTGTGGGTCTTGGAGGCAAACATCGGCCCAGAACTCAGGGTGGGAGCTCGTTATAAGTTCTGGTTCCGTTTTTCCCTGGCCTCAGAGAGTCTAGGTTCATAGGAGCAAAGGAAATGAAAGAACTGGACCTACTGTCTAAATCCTAAAGCAGAAACCTCTGCTTTCACCTGAATAACCAGAGCTCTCCAGCAAAGCATCACCTGGTCATTTCCCTTTGCTGGTGTAGAAATGATGATCGGGAAACCACACTGGAAATCGCTCAAAGTACCATGCACTGGAGCGAAGCTTTCTCCTTTCTGAGATTATTCTGAGGAAAAGGTAATAAACAGATCTGTAAGGAAATTAGTTATCTTAAAGTTTACTTACATATATTAGTTACTACCTTTTAATGAATGATATTTAGATGAAAATTTTGTTATTTTGCTATAGATCAAGTATCTCCCTATAGACGTTTCAAATGTAGCTCTAAGGAGAGTAAATATTTTTTAAAAAGATGAAAAGTTAAATATAAGATTCCCTTCTCTGTAAAAAACTTTTATAAAGGTCAATAATTTTGAGGGGTGTGTGTGATTTCACTTGAGTATTACTTTTTGGATAGAATCATAGACTATATCTGCTTTGAAAATATTATTTTAAAAAAGAAAAATGAAGTGTGGGTGCCGTTTTTTAATACAATATCAATAATTTACTTGTTAAGATGACACAATTAGACGGATTAAAAGAAATATTAGTCTCCAAGGATAATTTATATTGATGCCTTTCTCTCTGTTCTTAAAATATGAAATTATTTACACATCCCACTATATTATTTTGCAAATTGTGGTAGTTTCACAATTTGGAAATATATATATATATATATATATATATATATATATATATATATCTCACAGATGTGTGTAATTAATTAGTGTCAGTTTACCTCCTAGACCTTAAGCTCCATGAAGGCAGGGACTATGTCTGATTTGTTTACCATTTTGTCCCCAGCACCAGACATGTATTAGGTGCTCAAATATCTGTTGAATACATGAATAATCACTCAAAGAGGTGCAACGTAATGATGATGGTGTATATTTGATTTTATCTTATAAGAATGCCTGCTTTAAATTTTTTTCTCTTAATTAAGAGACTCAGGTTATACACTTGGACTTTGTGATTTTAAGAAATCACTAACGCTTATCTACAAAAAAATATGACAGAAAATGTTCTTTGGATTGTCAAATCAGATGTGCAATGGTTTGCCAGTTCATGGGATTGAAACTTTCAAATAATTGGTGACTGGTCCCAATAAATCAGAGTAAGGGCAAAGTCCACTGAATATAATTGTTTAAAGAGGCCGCTTGTAATTGAAACACTTTTCAATTTTGCCTAGGGATGAAGTAGTCTTATTTCATGGTGGTGTTACCAGAGCAAGTAGTTCTAGGGTATTTGCACGGTTGCTATGCTGCGCTTTCCATCTGTAAAGATAACCAGCTGAAACGGCAGCGCTAAGGGACTGAAGTCCAAAGCTGGTGGAGACATCAGTGATTGAGAGTGTGGGCAGCGCCAGGCACTGCCAGACAGATGTGCTGGGAATCCACCCCCAAACTTCATGGAATCACCTTGCGTTCGCTCCTTCAGCAGAAATCTGGTGCCGGGGAACTTCTTTCACAGTGCTAAAAAAGAGCTAAAAGATAACCTTTTCTTCCAGGAATAAGGATGCCTCTGGTTGTGCACGAGTCAGTGAGGGTGGAAGAAGCTGTTTCATAGCCTTGCAGACAAGACCAGCATTGTCAAAAGTTTGCTGTTTCCGCTGCCATTCCCTGATTCCCCTCTGCCCTCAAAAGATTTGTAAAGTGGTCAGGGCCATGATGTTGCCCAGTTTCGCTACCAACCTTCTTTTCTCTTGATCTTTTGTTTCAATGTCTGCTTTCTTTCCCCTACGTGCTCACTGAAGCCTGATTGTGGGGTCAGGCTATAATTAGTTTATATATGAAGTTTAATTCACTGTGGCTCTTCTGGCATTAGACTCAGATGGGCTTTGATGTCTGGCTGGAGCTTTGATCCCAGTCCCTCGAATGGTGGTCATCACCCCAACTCAAAGGATTGCCCTTTATTTTTTTCCCTCCTATTCGGAGACAGCTTTTCCCAATTACATCATTTGTGTTTGGCCATAAAAGCTGCAAGGCATCATTTTGTTGCTTTGCTCTATAGCAAAACGTGCAATTGATACTCCTTACTTTGCTTGGCTGCAAAAGAATGTTCACTGCTGGATAAGGGCATTTGTACAGTGGTGCTCAGACTTTGTGAGGTTGCTGTTGGGAGTTGTTCTGCCCAAGGGCAAAGCGTCAGACTGTGTGATCTGAGGGACCCTTTCTGACTCTGCCCAGGAAATATCTTTAAGCATAAGCTACACGACTGTGATATATTCAGTCAAGACTCTTTTTCTTGCTGGCAACTTTATCTTACTCTCCAGATCTTCTGGGCAGCAGATCCACCCCGTCTTTAATGTCACACTTTCTGAGCGTCGATTAGCAGCTTGCCTGAGAAGACAGAGGCCTCCAGGGAAAGCAAAAGAAGTAAGGAGAACTGAGCGATACTACAAAGAAGATGAACTGGCGTTAGAGGAGGAAGAAGCACCAGCACTTGCTTTAAAAAGAAAGTAAAAGAAAAATCAAATCGAGGGGTGGGGGTGGGGGGACACTTCTCTGGTGGCGCAGTGGTTAAGAATCCGCCTGCCAATGTAGGGGACACGGGTTCAATCCCTGGTCCAGGAAGATCCCACATGCCGCGAAGCAACTAAGCCCCTGGGCCACAACTACTGAGCCTGAGCTCTAGAGCCCGCAAGCCACAACTACTGAACCCGCGTGCCACAACTACTGAAGCCTGTGCCCCTAGAGCCCGTGCTCCGCAACAAGAGAAGCCACCGCAATGAGAAGCCCGCGCGCTGCAACGAAGAGTAGCCCCCATTCGCCACAACTAGAGAAAGCCTGTGTGCAGCAATGAAGACCCAATGCAGCCAAAAATAAATTAAAAAATAAAAATTAAAAAAAAAATAGGGGGAAGTGAGATCCTGTCTCTGACAGGAGGGAGCAGTGAACAGTGGGTGATTATCTTAAACTGCGTCCCAAATACCTGCAACCAAAACAAAGAATCAAAGTGGAAAGAAAGCCAGAGGACTAAATTGGAGAGGAGAAAAATTGGCTGTTGGGTTAAGAAGAGAAGAGGGGCAACCCAACCAGGCACACTTAATCTGACGACATTGCGAGTTTTCCTGGAAAAACAATTACAGCATTGAGCTCCTTGCTTCTAACTTCACTTGACAGCCTGAGTTTGTTTTAATTGGCGCGTGAATGAGCAGCATTATTTATTAATGTGTAATGGACACTTTAGAAAGCATGACCTTTTTTCCTATTTGCGACCATTTTATTGGCAGAACCATTTGAATACATTACTTTTAATATTGAAACTTGCTGGGAACACTTTTTCATGGAGATGTACAAGCTGTTAGGGCAAATGGTTGGCTTTGGACTAATGAGCCAGCTCAAAGTGGCATTTGGTGGGTAGGGGGCCTGGGAGGTGGGGAGCTTTGGAGACACAGCGACTTGTCTGCTTTAACAAGATTTATTAGTAGTGTGTAAAAACATGTTTCAGCTTTTTCCCCCCTCAACTATATAAATATAGTTGTCGATGTGTGACATAACACAGGCCACAATAATAGATTCCACCCAGCCAGAAGGAATCTAATTCAGCACTAGAAAGCAAGAAGCTTGCCTAGAAATGAGTAGAATGAGACAATGACAGAGGACATGGGTGAGTGGCATTTGGTAGACAGGATTAGTCATTATTCTTTAGTGCCTTACTAAAATTAGGGAGGAAAATTTCGTTCCTGTATTATCAAGTATGGTGTCTGGCACACAGGAGGCATAAAGCATAGGTGAACTGAATGGAATTAATTTTGTTTGTTGATGAGCACCTAAGCATAATTCCATTTTTAGATCTAATATACAATCTGGTTGATTATGAATCATAGTTGTAGTTACAGTTCCAGTTAGTCTGTGAGGGGCAGCAATGGGGGAGTCAATGGAGGGTGGCAAGAGAACTCTTGTTTTTGTTTTTTGGTACATGTCAACTTGACTCTATTTGTTGCAGAGATTAAATGGGTACTATTAAGTTAGTTGGAAAGTATGTTAATGAAAAAACAATTTACAACCAACCTGCAGTTTCTTGAATGCTTGCAAAGGCATTGTCCTGAGTACAGTAATACTAAGAGGATATTAAAACAACCACTGCCTTCAGGGAACTTTAATAATGTAATTGGAGAGAAGGGATACAGATAAACACCTACGTACATAGATGTAAGTGTACATACCCATATAAGTAACCATACAAATAGCATTTGGTAAGAATCAAATATCCATGCAGTTAACAGGAGTTCAGAGGAGAGAACTGAACTGATCTTGGAGGGAAGAAGGTTGGACTACGCAGAGGGGAGAAATGGAGAATTCTTAGCAGGGCTAAGCAGCTGGGTAAAGGTGTAAGAGTCTGAAATAATGATATAGGATGCACTCCTTCACACAGCACTTTGCCTGAACTTCAGCAAATTGCAACTTGCTGGATTCGATTTCTGAGGCTCTTGGATGTACTGCTGTTTAAAAGAGATATGGTACTTTTCCCTAGACAAGCCAGCTAGTGGCATTTCCAGACCCTTATCCCACTGAAATTCCCTGTGACCAGTGTCCCAAGCAGAGATGGCCATACCACAAATGCTACCGCAGGGGAAAAGTTTATTAGTCACTCTGGAGGAAAAAAAAAGATACAACTCATATAACCTTTACTATCTATGTGCCTGCCACGTTGTAAACACCCCTACTCCCATATATATTATATACTGTATATTATTATAATTCTTACAACAGGCTCCTTCTGTTAGTAGCTCCATTTTACCTTTGAGGAAACTGAGGCACAGAGAGGTGAAGTTACTTGCCTGCACAGCTAGTCTTGGCTGGAAAGGGGATTCAGATTCAGGCAGTCTGGTTTCAGAGTCAGAGTTCTTGTGATCGCAGACTAAATAACAACAATAAAAAACTCAAACAAAAATCAAAGCGCGCAGGCGCGCAGACTCACTAAACCCGGTGCTTGCAAAAGAACTGATGCAATCGCTTGCTATAGAGCGACATCCTCCTGCCTAATTTTATTGATAAATGCCTTCCGTGAAAAGATTAAAACAACAGCAACAAAACTAAGAGTGAAACAGTTTTAGGACAACGTTGCACTGTGCCTTGTAGTGCCTGCCTTTACAACTTGGAGTCCAAAAAGCCAAACCCAAGAAATGGTCTTTGAATACATTCGCTGTACCTTGCTGGGTAAGGTGAAAGAAACCTAAATCAGCCTGAGTGGGTACGAACAGTGGACGGGTGGGGAAAGGGTTAACGTTGTGTGCTTCAACTCGGTCGAGTTTCAGAAAGTTCTCTGGGGAGCCCAACTGCCGCGTCCCTTCGCGGACCCTGCCTGCGAGGCCGACTGTAACAGGATGCTGGGGCTCGAGGTGCTCGCCCCTTGCTTTGTGCGAGGGAAAAGAACCAATAAGGAGCGAGGCAAAAACTGGGTGCTGTAAACCCGAAAAGGGGGCGAGGAGGCCCGCGGGAAGAGCGGGGGAGGAGAGAGGGAGGAGCGGGGAGGGCCCGGCGAGGAGGAGGCCGGCGCCGAGCGCGAGCAGCGCCCCTGACACTAGAGGGGGAAGCCGGGGGGGAGCGGGCCTCGCAACCGAGGGGCCGGCGCGGGGAGGCGGGCGCCGGGCGGGGGTTCGCCGGGCCGCCGCGCGTGACGTAGCGCCGGGCAGGGCGTTATCAGCTGCGGGGCCGCGGCGAGGGACGCGTGGCGGCAGCGGACGGCGCCGCCCGGTCCCGGACGGCCGCAAGCAGCGGCCGCGCGCGGGTTCCGAGCGCTCCGGGTCTCCGCCCCTGCCGCCGCGCCCCGGCCGCCGGGAGGCATGAGTCCGCGGCCGCAGCCCTAGCGCCCGCTCCTCCGCCCGGGCGGCCCGGCTGCGGGGACGGGTGCGCGCTGTAGGGTTGGGGGCCATGAAACCGAGTCCGGCCGGGACGGCGAGGGAGCTGGAGCCGCCGGCGCCGGTCCGGGGCGAGCAGCGCACGGCGGAGCCCGAGGGGCGCTGGCGGGAGAAGGGCGAGGCGGACACGGAGCGGCAGCGCACCCGCGAGCGGCAGGAGGCCACGCTGGCCGGGCTGGCGGAGCTGGAGTACCTGCGCCAGCGCCAGGAGCTGCTGGTCCGGGGCGCCCTGCGCAGCTCTGGGGGCGCGGGGCCAGCTGCAGCCCGCGCCGGGGAGCTGCCGGGGGAGGCGGCGCAGCGCAGCCGCCTGGAGGAGAAGTTCTTGGAGGAGAACATCTTGCTGCTGCGGAAGCAATTGGTAGGTCGTGCCCGGAGGTGGGGCACGGCTGTCCCTGCAGACGGGCCGGGGTCGGGCAGGTGGCCTGCGCTGGGCGCTGGGGTGCCTCTGACTGGGGAAATCCTTTGGCTTCCCGGGACCCCCGCCCGGTGGCCCCCTGACCCGGGTTCCCGAGGGCGCCCGCGGCGCGTGGGCTGCCGACGCCCACGCGATCCCGGCGTGTGCCCGCTTTGTGTCAGGTAAGGGGCTGGCAACCCCGCGCGGACGGCCGGGCGGGGGTGGCTGCTCTCCCCTCCTGCTCTGCCTTTGGAATTCTTCGAGTCTCCTGGTTGTTACCTTCAAACTCTCCAGTTAGACGAAAGCGTGCCCTCTCCCCGAAGGTTTGCAAAGCCTCATTTAAAATAGCATTTCTTTGGGGAGCTTCTTGGCTTCATGGTCTCCCGCCGAGAGGGGACAAAAGCCGAGGAGGGGGCTTGTGGCGCGGTTGACTGTCCAGTGCCGAATTTTACGATTACACGGAAGCGGCCGCGGGGAACCTGCCCCTCCCAAGGCTTTCCCCAGCCTGCCAGCTTTTGCCGGGGTTGCTGCTTAATTTAAGATAGAAGCCCTTTTGTATAAGGCGGCTAAAACCGATGCAAATGATGGAAATTTGGCTGGAGAAAGTGCCCCCTCCCCTCATATTTTATATGTACTGCTCGCTGTGACTTGAGGTGGAGGTGGGCGAAGAGAAAAACCTGCTCTCAGGGAGCACTTATCATTGGATTTGTGTCAGCGTCTCAGACATTCTCTGCCGTCTTCATTAATGGGGAAGAAAAAGAACTTCGGCGCTTAATGTATTGATGAACAGCTTTTGACCGAGCCTCGGAGTAATGGCGGCAGCTTTGTTTCGGTGACCTCAAAAATGTAGTTTTGAAAACAGGAGAGAAAAAAAAAAATCCTTATCTGACCATGTGATACTATCTGAAACTAGACGCATGCTAGATAATGTCCCTCCTACGATTACCAACAGTGATGCTGTGTGGTTATTTGTCAAGTGTTTTCTTGTATTATCTCTTTTCAGATAATTTGTCTCTTTTTTTGAGCATCAAAGTGCTTCGACTTGTTTGGTTCATTTTTTCTGAACTCATTCTAACAAACAAGCATGTTATGTCTCCAAGCTTTTTAAGTCAAAGAACAGACAGGAGGGGTAGATTCATATGCATCTGTTTTGTAAGGAGGTACAATATGTATATGGTGTTTGTGCAATACCTCTGTTTTGGCATTTTGCTGTGTTTTTTGGTAGCAGACACTGATTTGAGCCAATTTTTGCTGGTTATGCCTGTCATTGACATTGTGTGCATTGTCTTATACAATAGCACCTTCTTGTCTTCATGAATCTCACAACTGTGAGTGGCGCATTCCTGTTGACCCCTGGAGGGGAGCAAGGCAGCATGTCAGGAGAATTCCCGTCCACTCAGTGTTTGTGGTACTGTTTTCATTTGTAGACTTGGCATTTGTGATTTGAACCAGATGCCTTTTGAGTTTTGTTTTTTTGCTTCCCCAGCAATAGGAAGCACTAGGTGGCGGTGTGAGTTAGCACTATGGTCTGTCACCTTTGGAAACCCGAGCTGAGTTCAAATCTTGATGGACCTTCCCTTGAGGGTTTTGGATTCTGCCAGCTCACATTATACTTGGCACTGGCTATTGGTATTAGTTTCTCACTTTCAAAGGTCCTAAGACTGATTAAACCCCACAAAGCAACTAATAGAAAACAAAACTCTGCAGGACATTTGGCCAGAAAATCTCACCTAAGTAAGATTATAGTGTATTGTAGGAAATCTGTTATACTCTGACAAATTAAAGAGTCTACAGTGAAGTACTGTTCTGTAAAAAACTGGCTGTACACAGAGGTTTTTTGAAAAATCTCAGTGGGTTTTTCTCATACTACCTATAAAAAGTAAGTTTATATATATATATATATATATATATATATTAGTTGAAACTAAAAGCAAGTCTTGTTTTTATGAAGAAACTATATCACCACAAAATGTGAGAAGGTGGAATTCAACGTAGGACATATTCTTGAAGTTTTTCTTTATTTCAGGTCATCCAGTAAAAATTTTGGTTTTGGAAGACTTAGGGAACTCTTCAGATGGTAATTTGAATACTTAGAGCCAGACTTTCTGGTTCTTTGTCACCAAAATGTGTTTGTTTTTCCTTTCTCCCTTTCTCCCTAATCAGAATTGTTTGAGGAGAAGAGATGCTGGTTTGTTGAACCAGTTGCAGGAACTCGACAAGCAGATAAGTGACCTGAGACTGGATGTGGAAAAGACATCTGAGGAACACCTGGAGACAGACAGCCGCCCCAGCTCAGGTGAGTGTGGCAGCACAAGGAGGAATTCTGCGGTCATGGGTCTGCCTTGGCCCCCTGTGCTTAGCGTTCCCAGACCTGCAAATGGCAGTGGAGTTCGTTTCCAGTGCAGAGAGAATAAAACAAAACAAAACAAGAGAAGTCTGCCATTCAGTTGCATAAGAGGGAAACAATCAGAAAACAGAATTTTTTTAAAATTTGTTTTGTTGAAGTATAGTTGATTTACAATGTTGTGTTAATTTCTACTGTACAGCAAAGTGATTCAGTTATATGTATATATACATTCTTTTTCATATTCTTTTCCATTATGGTTTATCACAGGATATTGAATATAGTTCCCTGTGCTATACAGTAGGACCTTATTGTTTATCCATTCTCTATATAATAGTTAGCATTTGCTAATCCCAAATTCCCAATCCATCCCTCCCCCACTCCCCTCCCCCTTGGCAACCACAAGTCTGTTCTCTATGTCTGTGAGGCTGTTTCTGTTTCGTAGATAAGTTCGTTAGACAACAAAATTTTTAATAATGAGATTGATCTGACTGAAGTCTCCTGAGTTTAAAAATAAAAGCTTCTATTCAGATTTCTGGAAGAGTGCTCCTCCTTTGAAACTTGAGAAAGTCAGAACTGGGCTAGAAAATTAGTCACACTTCAACTTCCTGAGACCACTTCAAAAGTGTGTTCTTTTTTTCTTTTAAACCATTTGGCTACTTAAATAGATTCGTTTTTCTCTTCAAGTTATTCTTTCTGAAATGTTCATGAAAAAGTTGAAGTTTGACAGATCTAAGTCTCTTTCCTTGCACATCTTTAAAGGTGGGGTCTCGGAGTAAGGTCAGTTTGAGAGTGAGGGTGCTCTCAGCTTTGAAACATACCCATACTTATGGGCTTTTTGCCTTTTTCCAAAGATTGCTGGAAATGAAACCATAAAGTCAGGACACTAAATCTCGTGAACCAAAATTGGTGCCCCTCCCTCTCATATTCTCCCTTTCCTACCTTTTCTACATGATTACCCCTTTTCCTTTTAGGCACAAATGTGTGTTATTGCTTGATATGATCTTAATCCCAAATGGTGTTTTTTATTTGTAGGGTTTTATGAACTGAGTGATGGGGCTTCGGGATCCCTTTCCAATTCCTCGAACTCCGTCTTTAGTGAGTGTTTATCCACTTGTCATTCCAGCACCTGTTTTTGCAGCCCCTTGGAGGCAACCTTGACTATCTCAGATGGTTGCCCCAAATCTGCAGGTAAGACTCTTTACAATTGATAGACATTTTTAATTGGAAGGGGTCAAAGGTCTTTAAAGGTTGTCTAGCTTCTACTGATGAAAAACAAAGGCTCAGAGAATTTCATCAGCTTTCTGCATTTAGTGCCATAGTTGCATCTAGAATCAAGATCACCACTATTCCAGTCCTCTTTGGGTATCACCTGGCTTTATATTCTGATGATAGCAAGATGACGTAGTTTTAGAAATCCTGTCCCAATATTACAGTTCTTGAGCTCTGTTTTTGAGCTTTTGCTGTTCAGTTGTTTGCATTTTCTTTTCAGAATTACTTTGGATCTGTTTTCTTGTTCTGTTAATCATTTAAAGCTAAAGCTTACATTAAATGTATATATATATATATATATATATATATATAAAATAAGATAAATATATCTGTCAGCCTGGCTAAGAGCTGCTTGGCACTTCTGGTAGCAGTGGCCCTTCCGTGTTCTCCAGAATGCCTTGCATGATGGCAGCTGTCTTCTTTTAGCAGGTGGATAGGGTGAGATCCCCTAGACCATGTTGCCCATTTTGGGCTATTCTTGCAGTGACCTCTAGAGAGAATCATGCCATTGTTGATACAGGAAGAGTTTCTGCATTTCCACCATGTGTCACACACTGCTGTGTGCTCTGCATACGTTTATCTGCTTTGAATCCTCCCGACAGTTCTTCAGGGTGCAAGTGTTGTTAGCTCCATTTTATGTATCAGAAAAATGAGGCCTGCTGAGGTTAGCTTAGGTGAGTTGCTTAAGGTTATATAGAGAGTAAGTGACAGAGGCAGGGTTCAAGCTCAGGACTATCTGCCAGGTCCATGTTTTTCCACCACACCAAGGGAATCCAGAAATTGTTCTGTTCAACCTTCTTAACGAACAGAGGAGGAATTTGGTTTCATATGCCTTTGTCAGAGGCTTCTCATTTGCTGAATGGCAGAGTTGTTGCTGAAACTCGGGACACCTTCCTTAGTTCTGCTTTAGTACGATTCCTCAGAAGATCAGAGAAAATATGGAAGTTAGAGGAGCTGTGGGTCCTGGCACAAGTCACTGCACCCTTGGTTTGTATGTGTTGTCCACTTGGGTAAAAGGTTGGATTTCTGAGGTCCAGGCAATGCAAACATAACACTAAACAACGGAGGCTGCTAATTGGCTGATGTCTTTGTACAGTGTGTGTTGTTAGCAGCAAACGATTGGTGAAGCACAAATCTGTGTTATCTAGAGTATCTGGGCCTCAAGTTCATTGGTAATTGCTCCCTTTCACTCTGCAGATCTGGTTTCAGAGGGAAATTTTATAAACCTATTAAAGGTACTTTGGTATAGGTTTTCCTTAAAGACAGACTCCTGCTATCCCAAATGCCACATCTTCACATAATTGAGACAGTTGGGCTGGCCCTTGCCAGCTGGGATGCCTGTCTGTTTCCTTAACTTTATGGAGGAAAAAGAGATGAAAGATGTCGTTTAGGTTAATGTGGCTTAAAGTAAGACAAGGATAGGCCTTGGGGTAGTGAGGAGGGATGGGCAAGGATATTAGCTAGAGAGGTTTCCCCTTCTTACAACAAGTTATTTATTGGCAGTGGAGGTGGGATTGGGGACATGGCACTTTTATTTTACAATAATCTTTTGTTTACAAATGGATCATATCATTTCTGAGTCTAGACTGTATTCCCCCCTTCCCCGCCCCCCTCCCCCAACTGCTAATTATCATTGGAATTCATGGAGCTTTCCCTTAAATTAACAACGTAGAACCTAGCATGTAGTGCGTTTTCAATATTTGAGTGAATAAATATAATTATAATGGACAACAAATTAAATAGTGACAAAAACTTTGATTTTCTCTAACTAAAGGTCATTCAGGGGATTTGATATTTATAATGTATGCCAAGACGAGAGCAAAATCATTTAATTAAGCAAGAAAGCTTGATGTCATTGTATTTTGGCAGCTACATTTTTGAGATGTGGGAAATTTATTCATTAATACTACTACTCAGTCTTTTAAAACATCATCAAGAATTCCCTCCTGAAATATTGTACTTTATTTTTTAGTGTCACTATTGAAAACATAGGGTGATTATTATTTAAATTTAATTAGTCTCTATTGAAATTTGGTTACCCTGACCTTTCAATTGACAGTTATACTAGAACACATGTCATTAAGAATTAGGTCTAAAAAAAAAAATTAAAAATTAGGAGGAAGCCCATAGAGAGTATAGTTTATCTGAAGTATTTTAAAGGGAAACCAGGAATAGAACACAGAAGGGAGAGTGGCCTAGAGAAAGAACAACTCAAAAAACATTTATTTTTCCAGTTATAATGCAGTACATATTTACTGAAAATTTAGAAAATAGAAAATAAAGAAGAAAGTAAACATTACTTGCTTTCCCACCACATTGAGATGCTAGTGCTCTATTGGCATCTTGGTGTGCTTCATTTCAGGCTTTTTTCTTTGAATATATCCAGTCTTAATAAAACTGTAATCAATAGTCTGTTATTATGATTTTCACTCCACTTTAAGGTGTTTTCCCCATATTATTCAATAGTTTGAAAGAATTTTTTTTTTTTTTTTGGCGGTACGCGGGCCTCTCACTGTTGTGGCCTCTCCCGTTGCGGAGCACAGGCTCCGGACGCGCAGGCTCAGCGGCCATGGCTCACGGACCCAGCCGCTCCACGGCACATGGGATCTTCCCGGACCGGGGCACGAACCCGCGTCCCCTGCATCGGCAGGCGGACTCTCAACCACTGCGCCACCAGGGAAGCCCTGAAAGCATTTTTAATGACTGTATTTTTCCTTCAGAGTTATAGCTTGTTAAAAATTCCTTTGTTAATTATTTTTTCCGTCACCCAGTAGTGTGAACTGTATGTGAAATAGTAGAATAGCTTGTGGAGTATTTGTTGATTCTTCGGCATTCTCCCTCTACCCATGAATTTGTCTTCGTAGAAACTGGCCAGAGGCGAGATGGTGCTGACCAATTCATTTCTTCAGAGTGTACCTTTAAAATGTTTTTCAGATCTCATAGGATGGTTGGAATATAAAGAAGGCCACTGTGGCAGTTGGCCGTTCCCCCTCCACATCACAGTCTAATTCCCTTGGTGTCATTGCAGATGTGAATCCCAAGTACCAGTGTGATCTGGTGTCTAAAAACGGGAATGATGTGTATCGCTACCCCAGTCCGCTTCATGCTGTGGCCGTGCAGAGCCCAATGTTCCTCCTTTGCCTGACCGGCAATCCCCTGAGGGAAGACGAGAGGCTCGGTAGCCATGCCAACGACATTTGTGTCGGATCTGAGCTGGATGCCGTCAAGACGGACACTTCCTTACCCTCTCCAAGCAGTTTGTGGTCTGCTCCCCATCCTTCATTGAGTAAGAAAATGGATGGTTACATTCTGAGCCTGGTCCAGAAAAAAACGCACCCTGTAAGGACCAACAAGCCGAGAACCAGTGTGAACGCTGACCCCACCAAGGGGCTTCTGAGGAATGGGAGCGTTTGTGTCAGAGTGACTGCGGCCGTCTCACAGGGCAACGGTGGGAACCTTAAGAATTCTAAACAGCTGCCTTTGCCCTCTGGCGGGGTCCCCTCTTTGGACAATGGGACGTTGTCCCCACTGAAACAGTGGTCAAAAGAATCAAAGCCAGAACCACTGGAAAGCAAGAGGTTGCCCGCGCCTGAGGGCATCTCCCCAGGCACTGCCACTGAACTTCCAGGTAAGCATCTGCCCAAAAATGCCAAGCCAGCCTCCCAGGAGCTTGCTAGGTGTCCCCCTGCTGGGGTAGGGGAGTCTCCTAAGGAAAGCGGTCAGATCCCAGCTGCCTCCCCAAAAGAGAGCCCTGGGAAGGTCCCCGCCTCGCTGCAAGAGAACAAGGTGGTCCAGCCACTGAAAAAGGTGCCACAGAAAAACAGCCCGCCGGCTCTCCCTACGGCGGCGCCCCCTCCCGCCGCTTCCGCTCTGGTGTCTCCCGCTTTCCCAGTGGAAGAGCGGCCTGCCCTGGATTTCAGAAGCGAGGGCTCTTCTTCTCAGAGCCTGGAGGAAGGGCCTCTGGGGAAGGCGCCGCCGGTCCTGGCGCAGCCGCCCAGCGTCAGGCCACCCCGGGGTACACGGCCCGTGGCCACCCCGAGGGGCTCTGCCCTGAAGCCCCGGGCCCCGGCCGTCCACGGGCCGGAGAGCGCGCTGCCCGCCGTGAGGGAGAAAGGCCGGGCGGCCGGCAAGAAGTGTCGGTTCCCCGATGATGCGGATACAAATAAGAAACTCCGGAGAGCCCCGGCCAAGGGGCGGCGGGGCGGGGGCGGCCAGTCCGACGTGGGACCACCCAGCCGGCCGCTGGGGGCGGGCCACCGGGCGGGGAGCCGCGGGCACGGCCACGGCCACGGCCGGGAGGCGGTGGTGGCCAAGCCCAAGCACAAGCGTACCGACTCGCGGCGGTGGAGGTCGGCCGCCGAGGTGTCCTACGAGGAGGCGCTGCGGCGCGCGCGGCGGGGCCGCCGGGAGCCCACGGGGCTGTTCGCGGCCAGGCCGCTGCCCTACGCCAGCCCCTACGCCTACGCGGCCAGCGACTCCGAGTACTCGGCCGAGTGCGAGTCCCTGTTCCACTCCACCGTGCTGGACACCAGCGAGGACGAGCGCAGCAACTACACCACGAACTGCTTCGGCGACAGCGAGTCCAGTGTGAGCGAGGGCGAGTTCGTGGGCGACAGCACCAGCACTAGCGATTCCGAGGAGAGCGGAGGCTTGATTTGGTCCCAGTTTGTCCAGACCCTCCCTCTGCAGCCGGTCCCGGCCCCGGACCTTCGCCACAACCCCACCAAAACCTTCGTCAAAATTAAGGCTTCACACAACCTCAAGAAGAAAATCCTGCGCTTTCGGTCTGGCTCTTTGAAACTGATGACGACCGTTTGAGTAACGTCCTTGGTGTAGAAAGTGGGGTTTTTCTAGTTCCCGAAAAAACGGCGGCGTCTTACTGTTTTGTGCGTAATAATCCCAAGGAATGCTTTCCTTTGGTTTAGATAAGACCGAGGTGAATTATGTCTCATCTTCGTCAAGTATGGACACTAGTGCCTAGTGCCTTTAGTGGAAGGTAAAGAATGTCATTGCTGGTTAGAAGTGAATATTGAGTTTCTAATGGTGGTGATAGTGACTTTTGTGGTATCAGATGGTTTTTATTTGACATTTTGTGAGCATCTGTGAAGGCACAGGTTTTGATGGTCAAGTGTTAATGGGATGAGACCTTTGATCTGGAGGTCAGGTGGATGGAATTTAGGACATACATTTGCTGCTTTGGTTCTTTAGGGCAGCGTCTCCATGAGGGTTTTCCTGTTGGCGGTATCACATACAATTGTGTGAGGTAGATACAAGGGGCAGTCATGGTTTTCTGTAGTTTTTTATATACTCTTCTTTTCTCGGATGTATCCCCATTCTGTATTCTCCTCAGAACTCTTTGGTTTACTGGACCCAGAACTTGAAGACCAGACCCTACATCCAGAGAGGTGACCTGGATAGGGAGGCTGGTAATACCTTAAAAGGATTCACTAAAACCTTTGCCACACTTGGTGCCTAGGCCCTGGTTACAGTAACCCCTTCTAGGGCCATTTACCCGACATTGATGCCTTTCTCCTCCTCCCTAATTTGCAGCAGATCCAACCATTCCTCCCTTGGAGACTTGCCTTTGGGATAACATTTTGGTCATCGGGTACAAAGAAATTCACTCCTAGTGAAATAACCCTTGGGTACGACTCCAAGCTCAGAACTGCTCGCGGGGCACTGTGCCACCTAAGCATTAGCCCAAACGTATTAGTGCAATCCAGTCCAGATCGGACCCCTGACCCTGTTTGGAAGGGCTTTTAAAAAAAAAATTTTTTTTTTGGTAAACAGTATTGTGTAAAATTCCTTTTTTTATACCAGTATATGCATGTTTTGTGCATGAGTAGTATTTGTTTTGATATTCCTGTTGATGTTAAATGACTGTATGATATAAACAGTATGTGTTTTTATATATCTTTGTGTAAATTTAATATAACGCATTATATGCTGTAATAAACGATTTGTTTTACTGCTGTTAAGTTTGTTATTTGGGTATAAAACCAGATGTTTACACCTATAAATCTTGTGCTGATTATTGTGGGATTTATATTAGGCCTATTCTAGCATTAGAATATTATTTGCAATAATAATTAAGGCAGATTTTAGGAGTATTGGAATGGATGGTGAATAAACAAATGAGGAAAAGCAAGCTACTTCTTTAGAATGGTTAAGGTGCTTCTTTAAATTTTAAGGTACATTTGATCTAAGGAAAATATTTCTGAGAAGACTTCCCCTCTCTCCCTCAACTTCTGAGTATGAAAAATTTTCAACATGGAAAAGTTGAAAGGATAGTACAATAAACACCTGTGCAGCCACCACCTAGATTCAACAATTGTTAACATTTTGCCATGCTTGCTTTAACACTCTTTATGTATTGATATATATTAGATAAAACCATATTGCTGGTTTTGTGGGTCAAAGACAGATTTTGGCAATCCTCCCTCTCCCCACCACGCTACTACATTATTTTAAAGTAAATTTCAGGCATCATGATATTTCATCTCTAAAAATTTAAGTATGTATTTCCAAAGAACAAGGAGATTCTCCTATATAATCACAACACCATGATCACACCTAAGGAAAATTGACAGTAATTCTTATTATCATCAAAAATTTAATCTCTATTCAAATTTCCCAATTTGTTTCAAGAATTTCTTAGTAGCAGCTTCCCTGCTCCTCCCAACCAGGATTCAGTCAATGTTATACGTTGCATTTGGTTCTAGATCCCTAGTCTTTTAAGTCTGGAATAGCCTCTCCATATTTTTTTCAAATGACATTGGGTTTTTCAAGTCAGAGCAGTTGTCTTGTAGAAGGGCCCACATTCTGAATTTGGTTGTTTCTTTATGTTGTCTTCTAACATCTTCTAGTCCCTCTATTTCCTGTAAACTGTGAAGGCTTGATGGGATTCAGGTTAAACATTCTTGGCAAGAAGATTTCACTAGTGATCTTGTGTATTTTATTGCTTCACATCAAGAAACAGAATATCAGGTTGCCCTACTATTACTGAATTTAAGAGTGATCCCTTTAAGAGTCAAGTCGGTGAGCAGAATTTTCTCCACTATAAAGGTTTTGTTTTTCCTCTTTGCAGATGGTTAGTGTTTATGGGTGACTCTTTGGTAGTGTGTGTGGATATCCTGTTCTTCATAACCTTCCACTTAATGGCTTTAGTTTACTTTGCTGATCCTTGCCTGAATCAGTTATTGCCTTGGGGATGCAAAATGGTTTTCTAAGTATCTTTTCTTCTTTTACTAGCTGACATTCTACAAAAAAAGAACTTTCCTTGTTTTTTTTCCCTTTCTCTTTTTAAAATATCATGATGGATTCGTGGACTTTTATTCATTTGATTCTTTACAATCACTTACGGTTATTGTTCTTTTTGATGCTCAACATGTCCCAAATTTGGCCAGTGGGAGGATACATTTCATTAAAAGGAGACTCTGGAATCAGCTCAGTCTCATAATTCATATATTTATTATGAGATGTACTGCATTAAAATGATTTTTTCACATGCTAAACTGCAATGCAACAAAAAATCCCTTATCTATCCATTTTTTTATTCTGTCTTGGAAATGATCTCTTTTCCTATATTTTATATCCCTCTTATCTCTAAGAAAGGCTTTTAACTTTGAAACTATAGCAAATTATTTCTTCTATAAAACTGTATCTTATCTTTATCTTATAAGACTTTTTTTTCAACAAAACATCTTTTTTTTAACAAGACATCTCAGACAATTTTTGAAAATGTAGAGTTGCTAGTCTTTTCATATTCATATGTTTTTATATGCAATCATTCTTCTTTGACTAGAATTTCTTTGGTTACCTGATTAAATCTAAGCCAAGCACAAACAAGGGGATGATCTCTCCATGTTTTCTAATGGTGTGATCCAACCTCTTTGGGGGCAAGTTATAAAGTTTATTGTGTGAGGCAACTGGGACCTGCAGTCAGTTCTTGAATCATGTCCAAGTTGTTCTCAATAAGCATTATTCTCAGAAGGGGACGCTTCCTGAAAAACAGCTTCTGAATAATTACAAGTTAGGTGACAGAATGCCAAAGGAAGAGAAGCATGAAAAACAGGATTTTTCAAAGAACTTTGGGTTTGTCCACCTCTGTCTATTGCTTGACTTCCCTGTAGCTAGCAGTTGTAGCACACTTGGAAAATTGGGTTTTGTCCATTATTTTCAATGACAAAATACCTGCTATTGTTGTTTCAAACGATATGGCTCTTTAAAATATTTTCCTTTATTTAAATAAATTACAAATACTCATTGTCAGAAAAGAAAAAGATATCAGATATATACACAGGTGTTTACACTCTTCTCTGTCAATCCTCCTCAAATCCTACTCTTCAGTAACGTTGGTGTATATATTTCCATACTCTGTTATATGCACAAATATATAACCTTTATATTTTTTTCTTCAAAACCAAGTCTCAGTTTATACGTATCATTCTGTAACTTGCTTCCTTCATTTCGTGAATATAATTCTCTCTTTGTAATGGGGTTCCAAGTATGTCCTTGGAAAATAGGCACCAGAGGAAAAAGGCATCAGATTTTATGGGGTACTTTTTTGCTCTGCTTAGAAAAATTCTAACATTTAGCAACAAAAGTGTTACCTGAGTGCTATACTTTTGCACACATATTGCCTTTCTAGTTTTCTCATGTATTTTGTTATTTTGTATTGTGAGGTCACTTCAGTGGGGTATTATCGCGGGAATCCTGTGAGGCTTGATTAAGGCTTTTGCCATACCGAGGAGCTTTGTCTTTTTTTCTGTCAGGTGCCTCAGGGCCATTTCCAGGCTGGACCACTTTTAAGTTCATTTCTCTGCTTTGAGGTTACCTGACTACAGAGGTAGTATAAATTCAAATCCTAAATCCACATGCAAGTTCCATGTTCTCAGAGGAGACCTTTCCCAAGGTGGAAGAGCTTCCTTATTTTCATCCTGGGCCAAGAAGTGGGTTTCTTTTTTTTGGACCAGCCCTTCACTGAGGGTATAGTGCTTCTGTGCCTGTAGGAATATGGGGAAGTCTCAGTCCCAAATCCCACCCTCGGAGAGCCAAGTCCTTGTCCTTGTGTGCCTTGCAGAAACTTCTCCCTCTACTCTCCAAAAAGGTAGAACAAACTTGGGTTCATTTCTAGTGAAGTCAAATACACTTAACGAGGTTGTTTGTTAATAGTTTACCCATCATTTCCAAGTGTTTTACAGTGAAACGATTAGGTTGTCTATCCATCAAAAGGCTGGAAACAGAAACCATAGCGCTACCCATTGCCTTTGCCAATAAGTTGGATTCTCCTTTCCCCCTCTTATTTTTGGTACAATATTATTGAGATACAACTGAAGTATGATAAAATGCACATACTTGAACTTCACAGTTGGATCAGTTTTGATATATACCCGTGTAATCACCACAATCAATAATAACGAACATTTCCATCATTCTCAAAACTTTCCTTGAGATCTTTGTACTCCATCTCTGGCTCCACCCCTTTCCCCAGAAAATCACTGATCTGCTTTGTCACTATAGATTACTATGTATTTTATAGAATTCTATATAAATGGAATTAAACAGTGTGTACTCTTTTTTGCCTGAATTTTTCATTCTGCATAATGATTTTTAGGTTTGTCTATGTTGCTTCATGTCTCAATAGTTCATTCCTTTTTTATTGCTGAGTTGTATTCTTCTGTACAGATAAATAATGATTTGTTTATCCCATTTACTTGTTGATGGACATTTGGATTATTTCCAGTTTGGGGCTATTACAAATAAAACAGTGAAGAACATTCATGCACAGGTCTTTGTGTGGACAGATGTCTGTGTTTCCCTTGGGTAAATGGAATGCGTTGGTCTTATGGTAGGCGTATGTTTAACTGCAAAGATATATTCCAAACGGGTTGTACTATGTTACATTTTTACAAGTAACATATGAGAGTTTTGGTTGCTCCATATCCAATCATTTGGCATGCTCCGTCTTTTTAGTTTTAGCCAATTTAATGGATGTATAATGGTATCCTGTTGTGGTTTTAATTTGAATTTCCTTGATGACTAATGATGTTGAACATCTTTTCATGTGCTTATTGGCCATCTGTCCATCTTCTTTGGTGAAGTATCCGTTCACATAGTTTGTGCATGGGTTGTTGGGCTTCTTCTTATTACGTTGTAAGAGTTTTTTGGTTTTTTTTTAATTTCACGTAAAAGTCCTCCGGTATATATTGTGAGTATTTTCTCCTAGTCTGTAGCTTGCCTTTTCACTTTCTTAATGGTGCCTTATGAAGAACAAGCATTTTTCATTTTGATCAAGTACAGTTTTCTATTTTTTCATTTACGGTTTGTGATTTTGGTGTCCCATCTTAGAAACCTTTGCCTAATCCAAGGTTGCAGAGATCTTCTCCTATGCTTTCTTCTAGAAGTATTATGGCTTTAGGTTTACATGTAGGTCAATGACTTATTTTGAGGTAATTTTGGGGTATGATGAGAAGTAAGGACAGATGTTCAATTTTTCCAAACAGATATTCAGTTGGTCTAGCACTATTCACTGAAATGACTTTCACTTCTGAATTGGCACTTTTGTAAAAAAAAAAGAAAAAAATTGAAATATATATATATTTCTGGATTCTATTCCTCTTTTTTAATAAGTTTATTTATTTATTGGCTGTATTGGGTCTTCGTTACTGTGCACAGGCTTTCTCTAGTTGTGGCGAGTGGGAGCTACTCTTCGTTGCGGTGCGCGAGCTTCTCATTGCGGTGGCTTCTCTTGTTGCGGAGCATGGGCTCTAGGTGTATGGGCTTCAGTAGTTGTGGCTCGCGGGCTTCAGTAGTTGTGGCAGTCAGGCTCAGTAGTTGTGGCTCACAGGCTGTAGAGCGCAGGCTCAATAGTTGTGCACGGGCTTAGTTGCTCTGCAGCATGTGGGATCTTCCCGGACCAGGGCTTGAACCCACGTTCCCTGCATTGGCAGGCAGATTCTTAACCACTGCGC